TTATTCCCACCGTGTCCACGCCTTGCAGCGACAGTAATGCATTGAGCCTCGAGTTCTCGATGCATCATTTCTCGCGATTATTCCCGCCGCGTCCGCGCCTTGCAGCGAGAGTGATGCATCGAGAACCTGAGGCTCGATGCATCATGCTCGCGATTATTCCCGCCGTGTCCACGCCTTGCAGTGACAGTGATGCATTGAGCCTCAGGTTCTCGATGCATCATGCTCACAATTATTCCTGCTGTGTCCGCGCCTTGCAGCGAGAGTGATGCATCGAGAACCTGAGGCTCGATGCATCATCCTCCTCATGGTTATTTCCACCGCATCTGCATCGTGCAGTAAGGATGATGCATCCTCCTCCTCACGGTTCTTCCTGCCATGTCTGCATCATGCAGTGAGGATGATGCATCATCCTTCTCATGATTATTCCCGCCATGTCTGCGCCGTGCAGCGGGAGTGATCCATTGAGAATGAGAGGCTTGATGCATCCTCCTCTTCATAGTTCTTCTGCCTCCTCTGCGCCATGCAACGGTGACGATGCTCACAATCGGCCATATGTTGTAACAGTCCTGCCACAACTTGTCGATTGTCAGGAGATGTACATATACATGTAATAATATACAACTGCAGAAATGTCATGTCATGACATATTAGAGGTGCGGTTCTTCTGCATCATCAGCAGTACGTAGTACTACACTCGACTTCAGCTGTTCATCAACTCGCCTCCATGAATTCTCACAGAACTTTCCCATCAACGTGCGTAGCTCTGCTTGACGAAATGCATATGCGGTCATTCTTTCCTGGTTCTCATCCGAGCTGGCAGGCTTTCTCCCTATGAGGCTCAGCCACCATCCAGCTTGGTAGTTGTGATACTGCACAACACGCCACATTTCTTCTTTCAGTAATTGACATTCTTCAGACCAATGATGGGCCCGTGCCCGTGTTCTGCACCATTCGACACATAGTGCTATAGCAGCGATCAGCACAGCACAGCACATTGGGTAAAACATTCTACTCACCTTCTTGAACTCCCTGATCCTCGCTGCTGCTATCAACAGGGCCAACACCAGGAATCTGCCAAATCCACGACAGAGTGCAGTGGCCCTCGGTCTCCATGAAAAGACCTTCAGACATGCCTCTGATATCTACGTCATCAAGCTGACGCAGCTCGCACTGCCATGTCTGATCCCCAACGACTGTGCTAAGAATTTCCACTGCACCACGAGCCTTTCGGTAATGCTTGACATCCGTGTTGACCTTTCTTTAAATGTTATCGATGATTCCTCATGCACGCGTGTTGGGACGTTGACCACGTACGAACCTATCCTTGATGTGGTAGAGGTGGGTTCACAAATGGAGGTGTCGACGTAAGCTTTCTAGTGCATCGTGCGCTTGTGCCCACCTCAGACGGTATTTGCAATCCACCAGCAAAGGGTCGCATCGCACTCTATCAAGGACTTCTGATGGCAGGAACAATGTCGCATGAGGCACAATGTTCAACATACTGTCGGAGTCCTGTGAACGCAAGATTGCAACTGCTGGCATATACAGCTGCTGAACCTCTGACCATGCTTCATAGCGACGTTGGAGTGTATTCCAACGCTCGAGCACCTTTGCACACTGGAGGTCAGTGGAGTGTGAGCCTAATTCATCTGTGTCTTCGTGCAATCGACGCCTGTGAATATGCCATTAGCAAGCACACCGAGGAATATGGGCAAACTCACTGAATTTCTTCCAACTCTATGCCACTCGTGATCATCATGCTCGGTGAAATCATGTCATGAACCGTGGTAACCTCACCATCCCGAAGATGCGCCGCATCCTTCTCTGCTAATTGGAGACGTACGCTCGCCTGAGTGATGGCTTTAGAGATAAATGAGCCATTGTCACAGATTTTCACGTTTTCACCTCTGCACGTGACCAAGACATCACTTGACGTCAGCGCTAGGCTGTCCAAAAAGGAACAAACCGGTATGTGAAGTACGCACCCCGAAGGTCCAAGTCTAGTCACGTGACACATCACGTGATATCCACACATGTGACAAGTAGCGCTGGTATTAGGTAAGCCTAACTTATACAGTAATATCATCCCACTTAGAAGCAATGGTCGGACTCCGGAAGAATCCAACGAAGGAGACACACGTCACCAGAGATATGTCCTTAAGGGGATATTAGTTCACATACATGAGGTAGATAGATACCATGCCACCGGAGATGTAGCCATTACAGGCAATACCATTCCCATGGTCTTACTAAGTAGTTCAGAGGTTCGGCATGCATGACACACGTAGTCTGACAGGTAGTGGTAACCAATCAGACAATGTCTGTTAGCTAGCAGTTCTGGGGTATCAGGGTACTAAGGGTCCCTCCGCTCATGTATATAAGCCAGAGCTCTGAGACGCATAAGTCCCCCAGACTTATTCTCATCTCTGCTATGCCTATCCATATAGTGTCACCAGCACCCACTTGCAAGGCGCTGCTTTACCTTGATCATCTTTGTGTCCATCCTTACTTCAACAACAGTCAGTAAGTGTTTGATTATAAGGTCATAGGCTTAGTCGGCGCTCTGCGTCCTAAGTTTGTGATAGCCATCAGTATTGAATATGTCGGTAGAAGTCATCGAAATGATTTATTGTACTCACCGCTTTGCGTAATCTGGAAAGGATTTGGCTTGGATGGATTCCTCTCCCATGCGGTGATGGCCACAGTCCACTCTGCTACGTGCTCTGTATGAAGAGCCGCAGAAAGCTCCTTGAAGGCAGCAACGTGGGTGCTGCGCTCTTCAATCGCGTTTTTGATCTTTGTGAGCATGGATTCTGCTGTTCAATGGATTAGATGATGTCTATTACATGAATCTTACCACAATGCACCAATGCGAGTAATCTTGTTCCAATTGTAGGTACCAAAGATGTCATCCAGCAAGTCTCGACGAGAACCAGGACCCATCTCCTTGGTGCTGGAAGTGAAAGGGTTGACAGCTGCCCAGCCTCATTCCACAGCTTCGCTGTCTGTGCATCCGACTTGTGGTGTGATATTGAATGAGTACCGAAGGTGACACGATTCTTGATGTGCGGATAGATGGAATTTCGGAATGAGGAAGGTGATAGTGCGTCTGTTGAAATGGTGTTCATACAATGCCATGCGTTCCCAACAGTGGGTCGACCACTGACATGCGATGTCATATGACACCACAATGGAGATGGGGGTGTTCTGCTGTATGCTGTTCCAAAAAAGATAATCCATGTTGATGTACCTGAGAAATACTAGTCAAACATGCAACGGGCTTTAAGTTCACATGGGAAATGCACTGCTCTCCCTTCTGCAGGTCTCTGACAGAACACGGCCACTTCATATCATGGCGAGAACATTCCACTGTCCCCACTCCACTCACCGCCATACCTTGAGAACCCTTCAAATTGGTGAGCTTCACCGCATCATGGTTGTTACATGTACTAGTGTCCTCCTTGATGACCTTGCCATACGTCTTGATATGCGCCTTATATTGCTTCTCCTCAACAAAGAAGGCAATCCCTGTATTGAGTCCCGGGTCAGCAGCATCAGATGAGACATTCTTCCTCTTGAGCCGGAAGTTTGCGTCCATGCCGAGGAATAGCCGATAGAGCCACCTTTCACATGTATTATCATTGAGGCATGATTAAGAAGCCAATGAAAGCACATACCTGTGCTCGGGCAGAGCTTCCTTCCAATCATCAGGGAGGTTCTTGTCAGGGTGAGGGCACGCCGGACATTCGACGACACAACTGCTGGGCGTAGTCCCTGACACTCCACTTGGATCATGGCCACAGCCAAAGCGCTTCAGCATCTTGAGGTGTCGCCACTGACGCATCATTTGCATCAGCTCAGGGTACCGATCCTGCCCTGCAACGTGAGTTCAGCATGTTATACAAAAGCTAGGAAGGTCACACCTTGGGTGTGTGCAGGCCTGTATTATCGGTGCGTCGCTCAAGCATGGAATAGAATTGGAAACCAGAGATGTTTGCCTGCATTGAAAGGAGGTGGAAGTGCTCGAGCAGCCGGAAGGTTGCAGCTGTCTTTGGGTTGTTGCTTGTGGCAGGAAATAACTGCACGTGCAGGAGCTGAATGTCGTGGGGTTGAGCCATTTTGCAGTTGCAGAAATTGAGGCCGACGGTATGGATGCCAGATATATCCATTACTATGAAGTCATCTCCCCAGGCTCGCTCAGGATTGCAGCAGCGTATGCCCGATGGGTGTCCGACCTGAATGCGGAGGCCAGCGTCCTTGAGAGTCTTGCACCGGAAATGTGTTTGTGCCCATACCTGTGAGCCGTAACATCAGTGATTGCATGATGGAATAGTTGCGATGGGCTTACCTTCAAATGGTGGTATGGGCTCTGCCTGTGCATCATGACAATGCATTCTTGACAATAAAGTGCGAGATCATCGCAGTTGACACAACGGATCTCGGCTGTGGCGGCTTGACAGCGTTGACATTTCTCCTCTGTATATCCACAATGGCCTTTATGGCGCAAGAGCTCTGCAAGCCATTCATCATGATGAGGTATCCATTCATGGAGGGGATGATCCTAATAGACTATTGTCAGCACATTCAGACAGAAATGAGATTTGATACTCACACCTGCAGTACGTCGTCGCTGTTTCGAGTGTTCGTCCATCTCCGGAAGCTCATGAATGTAATCGATGTTGATATCGGCTAGACCAGAATTGTCCCATGTAGAATCATGAATCAAGATGCTTTCTGCTTCAGGTAGAGATGATGTAGCTGTATCATCATCGTTGGTCAGAGATGTACTTGTTTTGGAAGCCGTTGTCGCAATAAATGAAGTCCGGGATGAAAGTCCGTGATCGCGGGTGTACAAATCTGTGTGTCTATTGAGAGCATGAGGAGGCAGTCGAGATTGCGAGACTCAATCTTCATTCTCTGATTCGTCATGGAACTGAAAGTCACGGTCACATCGACGACGTCGCCGCTTTGATGCAGACATATTCGTGAGGAGGTCTCTAATGCGGTGAAAAGCTGTTCAAATCCTGATCATCAAAATCCAAATGGGCTGACTGTAAGATAAAGCCACATGAACCTTTTATGTGCAGATTGAAAGGTTTGCACACCTCAAGGGCATGGTATGACTCTACGAGCATTGAAGGGTATTTAGATTGATGATGATATAGGGAAAAAAAGGCCGACACACCCGATGAGTCCCTTATTACTCCACATGAGCAAACATGCCAGAGGCATGTGGGCCACCTTCTCTCCGATGCTGAGGAAATGATCCTGCAAGCGTCAAAAACTGTCAAGAATGCGCTCACATTCAAGAAAAGTGAGCATGTGCTCCACGCGTCGTGTGTCCAGCCAATCAGATTGGATGATGCACCATGAAGAAAGCACGTGCTTGACGCGCGACGCGTCTAGCCTATCAAAATTTTGATTTAACGCGTCAGGAAAAAAGCGCGTGCATGATGCGTCACGCATCCAGCCAATCAGATTATTGACACGTCAGGAAAAAGTGCTTGGTGCATCTTGCATCCAATCAGAATCCTGTCCTGACACGTCACGAGCATGATGGGAAAGGAAGCATGTGCTCGACGCGTCTCGCGTCAAGCCAATCAGCATCATGATATTAACCATACTGAAATCGGTGACCAGTTTGGTTTTCAGTCAGCACACCGTAGAAAACCATGATATAGGTAATAAACAGTGTAGAATAGTCTATCAGAAGCACTAGCACTGTGTGATTTGCACTGCGGCACAAAGTGATTGAGAATTGCACAAAAGGACAGTATATTTCAGTTACATTCGGTATAGCGCCAGTAGGCGTTACGCGACTTAACTGCTTTCACTGTACGCTCAGTCTAATACTTATCACATGTTGTCTGCTGTCCTTGCGACATTGATCACTCACTCTGACATGTCTCAGTCCAGCAATTATTCTGTCAGATCTACCGACGTGCATTCATACATTGCCACGGAAGTTCACCTGCTCTCCATGCTCTGTTCATCTCCCTTGACCCCGCTGTCCCAATCTGCTGCTCCACCTTCAAGCAGCATATCATCTTTGCACCCCACTCTAAGCCGATGGTACGGGCGACATCTGCTAGTGCGTTACCATGTGGATCGTCATTGCATGCTGTATGCTGCCATGCCTCCAGCCTTTAGTCAATCTCACTGTTTATCTCTGCCAACAATGCTTGCTCGTCGCTGTCCTCTGACCATCATTCTAACCTCCACCATCCTGTCTCTATGAAGTGTTGGAACTGTGCCACATGAAGACCTGATGCCAATTCGTCCTCATCATGTTGGGGTTTCTCAAACAGCTCGTTTAGCTTCGGAATCGTCCGTAACTCATCTGGGACTTGTGGAGCGAACGGCTGTGCCCATATGCCCAGGTCATATGGTTCTTCAGAAGTACTGCCCAGATGGAATGGATGGCGTGCCATGGTGATTAGCTCAGATGGTAGTCCAAGGATGCTGTGGTGGAATGGGCTGGGAGATGATCCGGTACGAGCAGTATATGCATTCTTGTTCTGCGTTGCACGTCTTGCATGGCCCCTGACAATGGGCATTCATTTTTGTGAGTTCGTCACCACAGATTCTGCTATGCCTACCTGGCTGACTGCGTATATTTCTTTTGTCGCTCTCGCTTTGCCGCGAGCTTTTCACCAACAGTCTGATGCTTTGCACGATGCCCCATGGCAAGCTTGGGTGAGTTACAAATACCATAGGAAGCACTGATCATGCGACTTCGATGTCTGACAGGTAGGGAACGAGTTGCGTGTGAACGAGTGTCGCAACTGTCAAGAAACTGACATATATATACGCAGCACAGTCAACAGGGTACATATCTGGGAGAACACAAGAATTATAGTGACAGGATATGCGAGCAACATAGTGGAGAGCAGCCAGGAGCACAAGAACATGACAGGCAAGCAGATCTATTCATTACATCCCTGACGATTCACGATTGCAGTATTCCACCTTCAGGGGACTCAGACGAAGATGACGGCAACATGGCCATTTGTAGAAGCCTCCATGAAGGCACTGAGGGCAGCATTGAAGGTAGGGTATCTCTGGAAGAGGGATCCCGGCATGTTGGTGACAAGAGGAGATGTGTTCGGCCTGGTATACATTACAACTTACGATGTAAGTCAAAGACAACCACATAGCACAGTGAGAATCACTTACCATCTGGCAAACACTCTGACTGCATGGCCACGGACAATACAGTACCAGCGCGTCGAAGGCGGCTGCTCTACAGTCACTACGGGCCCGGCCTCATCACGAATGCGCTCAGGCCTCTCCTCGGCATCAGAATAGTGGAAGCCAGCGTATTCAGCCTCATGTGCATGTGGGCTGCTGCTGCTCAACTCCACGGAGACCAGGACCAGAAGCATCACATGTGGTGGAGGTCGCTGTGATAGAAGAGACCATGTTGATGCTGGGGGATCGGTCACGGAGTGCTGAAAATGTGGGGTTACTGCTGACATCCTCCTGCTCTGAAAGAGAAGCAGGATGCTAGACTTAGGTCTGAAGGAAGGGCCTCCCCAGAGGTGACGCTTTTAGTGACTCACCTTGCTGGTGGCGCTTGCTGCGTTCAGCTGCATTTCAAGTATGAGTATTGCTCATGGTCATCGCAAAAGGAATGAACTCACTAGCGCACTGTTCAGCAACCAGACGCAGTGCCGCCACCATCATCTCCAATGAGAACATATTCTCTTCATTACTCTCATGCTTCGAACCCTCTGGCTCAGCATGATCCTTGCCGTTGCAGTTACCAGTGGACTTCAACATTGCTGGAAGAAGGAGAGAGAGGATACAGGGAGGATGGAATCTATGGTGCGCTCCTGAAATCCTCATCCAGATGCCCTCGTTTAAAAGCATATCAGGCCACTCATGAGCACGATTTATTAATTGGCTCATGCCTCATGTACGCTCTGTACATTGATGGCCACTGTTCGGACGTCATCGCCATTGTTCGCAACGTCCTTTGATTCGCTTGAGCATGCAAAGTTAAAAGCACAGCTACAGCATGGCGATGCATCGTGGCACATTCGTAATGTATCATTGCCCTTTCCTTCAGGCTTGCTCATGCTCACATGTCTCTCCTTTTTAGATTCGACAATATGCCTGCTCGACGCTAAACAACAAATGAGGAATGCGACTTCCTTGAGAAGAAATATAGCGGCTATCTCAAGAATCAGAAGGCCAGAAGTCTGCGAAAGTTCTGGGTCGAGCTGGATCATGAGTGGTTCCAACTCTTCTCAGAGCGCAAGAAGCTATTTGGTGAGATCACAGATTTGACTAGTGAACAGAAGGCACAGCACGGCACGGCAATTCAGCATCGCAAAATCGTACGCACCGTGATCTATATTCAAACATTTACCTCAGCTGACATGCACACATTGCATACAGCAACTACGCTCATGGTTTCGGAACAGATCTGCTAAGGCTCGGCGTCACGATGGGACGAAACTTCCTGGCCACTTTGACATGGACCTCAGTGGCACAACGAAGTCCATTGGTCGACGCTGACTCAAGCTTATTGAAATCTATTCTCAGAAGTACTATGACACGAAGGTCTGAGCCGCTGTCAAGATGGCCATCAGAGAGCAGTCACTGGGGCCAAAGCAGACGCTCGCTGTCATCAAGTCTCTGACAGAGAAAGCGTTTGCCGCAGAAGATGAGACCATCAAAGCGGAGGTTCAAGCCGAATTTGAAGCGCAGATAGATGTTCGCGATGAGGATGGTGAAGGATTGGGGGCTACGCCCACGCCTGCAGCACAGCAACAGTACGTTCTGTACTATTCTCTATCTCACTTCTAATCCTCATATCCAGGATGCTCGAATTTCTTCCATCCATAGTGAGGAAGATTCTTGGAGAGCTCGCACAGAAGACTGGATGGTCCTTCAGCCTCTTTGGTGGTGGACCTTGCCCCGAGGAAGATGGCGATATCAGGACCTTTTCATATGTTGATTATCTTGATTGATGAATTGCACGCTGATGCATCATGTCCAGTTACCATCACGGGAAGACGTCTGTTGGCCACCATTTCGGAGATGTCCAACCAAACTTCAAGAATCAGGTTATCAAACCATATATCGAATTCCTCAATGTAGTGTATCGTAAGTACATGTCCACATGCAATCGAAGGTTCTGATGTGAAAAGCTGATTACATGTAGCTGCTGACGTTCGAGCAAGGTTCACGTTGCAAGCGTCAGCTGAGGATCGGGATGAGGACGAGGATGCCCAGAGTGAACTTTTTTTTTTTTTTTTTGTACATTTATTTATACCCCGCGCTATGTGCGGCCTGGTGACCCGAAGATACACGGAACATTGTAACTAAGAGCAAGTCGCCATCAAGTGTGAAGGTGACATAGGGGAGGCAGTAAATGCGAAAGCAAACCGGTCGCTCAGGTAAACAACTACATGACAATGTCCACATCACCATCATGCGCCTTCGAAGATGGGCCAGCGGTAGGAGAGCTGATCGTGCCTGCACCGAGTAGGTCAGTGTTGAGGGCAGCAGGGGGTCGGTACTCGGCCCGCTTTGGGCACTGGATCGAGTCCGTGTGGTGGAGACCACGACAGTTGATGCACTGCGAGTGCGGGCAAAGATCAGAGGCAGCGCGATTCTCCTTCGCACAAGAGGTGCATCGAGAATGATGCGAGTCTTCATGATGATGGCCGGCACACACACGGCAGCGGAACGGTCTGGTACACCCTTGGGAGAGGTGGCCATATGCCCAACACCTCGTGCACTGTCGGAGACGCAGCTTCTCGTGCCATCGTGATGTAGTGATGGGTGCGCCAAAAGCGAAGAGGGGGGTGCAGAGGATGGTGGCCAGAGCAGTGCCATCTGGGTCCTTGAAGCCGAGTACGACGGACGAGCGGGCACCGTCGATGAGTTCAGGTTGACGTGCCCAGCGCGGAGGTTGGGTGATGGTGAGGCGCTTGATGGCCGGGTTCTTGAGGAGCTCCTCCGACAAGGCAGAGGGAGAGTGGACCTCGGCACCGGGGGAGGTCCTGGTGTACACGTTGCCGAGGAGGACACGTGACCATTTACTATCCCTGGCGATAGTTTGGTCAGCTCCGATCCCCAAGGCAAGGTGAATGGTCGGGAGGTGGGCGTCGATGCAGGTGTGCGAGGTGGCAGGCGGAAAGACGAGGACGAGGTTGCCGGCAGTGCTGGGGTAGGCAGCTAGGGCGGTGAGGCCCTCTGCGGTCGGGATCAGTGCTAGGGCCCGGTTAACGTCGTTCAGCATGACAGCAGGAGGGGTCGAGACGAGGCGTTCGGGCATTTTGCCCGACCATCAAACCACATACCGCACAGGTGCAGGAGCACGCTTAGGCAGCAGTGCATGCTTGGGCTCAGGAGCCTTGGGGCAGGATGGAGGGTTCGGCGCACGTGCGGGATCAGCCTGGTGTGAAGAGATGACTGCCGTCGCATAAGACTGGGTACGGCCGGCCTTTGCCTGAGGTGGGACCAGAGTGTGACCGGCATGAGCCGGCGCAGCAGTGCCCTGACTCACGTGCGCTTCGAGGGCAGTGAGCTGGGTTCCCAGGTCATTGCAAAGGGCAAGTATGGCAGTGGCGACATCGTCGACTGCAGGCGGAGGGGCTGGTTCGGTGGAGGGGGTCCGAAGTCGAGATGCCAGAGTGTCGTAGAGGGCCGCATTAGCCGGTACGGATGCCAGGAGAGGGTCGGCAGGGTTGAGGCTGGCGAACCAGCCTGACACTTCGTCGAGGACCTTCACGGCGAGTTCCAACTGGCTCACCATGTTACCAGCGGGTGACTTGGAGATCCTGCAGAAGTTGACAGCACGGTGGAGTGCATGATAGAGGGTGATAACAGAAACATAAGGTGGGGGCACGGCGGGCGCCGCAGGCACCGGCAGAGATGGTGGTGGTTGTGGTTCAAGAGGCATGAGTAGTAGTATTGGCCCAGAGTGAACTTGACGACGATCACCTCTCTCAGCTCGACACGGATGACCTACAGCAGGTATTGGATGGCATGGAACTTGACCTGGACGACACGGACGCCGACGCAGACACCACCCTAATATCAGATGAAGATGGCATCCACGAGTCAGTGACTAACGATGGCTTAGCTCGGGTCGAGGAGCCTACAGCCTTGGAGCAGTCAGGCAATGAGACTGCCACTGACGTGGGCCCTGCGACTTCATTTTGGCCAATGCAAGGGTCAGACCATACGACATCCTTAGTAGGGTGTTCCAATTCGGGTCCTTCTATTGCTCAGTTCAACGCCCCTCCACCGGCATCCAATGCACTAGGTCTCGACGAGATCATGCCCTCTCGCCTGTCCATCACGATGTCCACAGCTGCACCGACCACCGCCTACTCTGTTCCTGAACTAATGTTTTTCGCTTCCACAGCAATGCAGCAAGGCCTGCCACATGCTCATCCTCAAGGGTATGATGTGCGCTGCTGGAATCAACGGTTCGAGGCACCGTGAACCTTGGCCGATCACAATGGCACGCTTATGGAGATGACGAATATGGGCCTCAATAATGCGTATGACATCAACTTTGATTTCACGAACTTCTCACACACCGATATTCTGAATGCGCCCTTGTTTCCATCGCTGATCGCCGCAACCTCAGAGATCAACAATGCATTGGTCATACAGGCACCAACCGCATCGAGCATGTCTGAAGCCCCCAGTACCTCTTCCTTTCCCCTGAATCTGCCGTCGTCCCTCTCATCCTTATTGGCACCAATGAGTTCAGCTGCTATGTCTCCATCTTCCACCTCGGACTCTCAGGCAGGCACTGCCACCGGCCTGGGCACGACTACACCTGCTGCACAGGTGTCACACGAGCAGCGAGTTGATGCCGCTATCCCTGCAGTGCCTCCTCATATGCCTGCCAAACAGCCCAATGCTGACTCTGATGCTTCCAGCTGCCCGAAACGTCAGATGAAGAAGCCAGCGCGACCAGATGCCACGCCACTTTGGGAGCAGTGGGAGTTGCCTGCGAGCGGAGCTAAGCGAGCAGAGAAAGAAAAAAACCAGCGCACGAAGGAGAATGGACCAGCTGAAGTTGGGCAAAAATGACAAGCTACAATTCAAGCTACTCAGCGCAGAGGTGGGAGGAATAAGAAGGCGAGGGTGTAGTATGTGGACTGATTCGGGCTGGGACTGTATGCGCGTGTGAGTACTCTCATAAGTATTTCTTCCAATCTTCTTGAAATGAAGCACATATTCTTCATAAATCTGTTCTATCTTGATGAGCTCTCGTTCGTGGTGCAATGTCCGTGTATCAGGGCGCTTGGCCCATGTGTTCTTGGTCATTCTTGGTAGTTATTGTCGTCGATTAGCGTTCTCGTAGCATCATTTCTTGCACATCCGGCTTGTTCAGAAAATCAGTGTAGTCACCAGTAATGGTTATGTAGTAAATGAGATATATCTTTACAGTACAATTTCGAACGGCACCATAAAAAATGTGAAGTCTGACTTGGCAATGGATGGATACCCCGCTTGGGCGCTTTTGGGTGCATGCGGGCGCTTGGCCTCTTGTGGGCCACAGCATCACCTAAGTCGAGGCTGTCGAGCTTCCCGCACACCGTCGCTATTGCTACGATTTATTCCTACACAAAAGCGATATAGTATTTACTTACCATAGCGATCTGAATATCAACTGGCCGACATAGTATTGTGGAAATGAAATCATGGCACACTTGTGAAAAACAAGGATAGTACTCGCTTTAGGCGGCTGAAGGGTTATTAATACAAACTGTGTGGCCCCGGGCATCAATCCGAAAGGGTGGATGATGCGCCATCATTTTTTTGTGAAGGTGATCGACAGAAGCTCGAGCGCAGCACCCTCTTTCAGAGGTGATGCGCAATGCTCGGACTCTCCGTTCACCGGAACACGATTTCAGCCGATCAAAACATCAATACAACATGATGTATCAAAATACCCGGGTCCATACGGTAATGTGCTTTACAGTGTCCCGTGATGCATCATATAATGCTTTACCGGCTACAGCGATGCATCAGGTTCGCTGCGAGGCAATGAAATGATTTATTAGAGCATTTGCGATGCATCAGTATGATATATTGTAGTGGTGCGTAATTTTCGAAAGTGCTTCATTGTAGCACTCCTTGATAAATCAATGCGATGAATTGTAGCCATGCTCTATTCACAGGAATTGATATAACAGTGTCTTGGCTGCAATTTCAGCTACGTGATCTATCGTTATGACACTCACGCCTGTACAATCTGCCAGACAGAGGACTTGTGTGAGTTGCTGGAACCAGACAAAAATGGAGGTGACAACAGCGAGGACGAGCACTCTCCATTGGAAAGCTCTACAAGGAATGGTGGCCCGGGGACTAGTAGCGATGATGAAAGCATAGCGACGGATGCATCTGATTCACAAGACGAAGACGACCTTAGCTTCACACTCCCTAACCGGCGACACATCGCAAGTGCCGGTGTCGATCAGCAGGCCGTCGCACGCGTTTTCTTCGAGCTTGAAAGAGCAGCCCCCAAGATGCAAGAGCTAAGCCAGTATCTCAGCAATGTTCCAGCACTTATTAGAACAGAAGATGTGGAACGCGCGGCTGGATTCCAAGACAAGCTTCTCATGCTCACTCGTCAGCTATCAAGATTGTTGATCAGCCATGATCATCGCATCGATTCTCTGCAAGTAGCAACCCCAGGTGCTCTGGATTCCATGCTGCAAGATCGACCAAAGACGCCGCTGCCAACGCAATGCAAGCGACGAGCAGGGACTGACTCCCTCCTTGGTGCATCTCCAGAGAAAACTCAAAGACGAAAAGATTCACACGCACCACATTAGTATATTTTACATCATACACTAGTATTGCACTGAATAAATATATTCAATGCTATGAACAGTGTAGTCTACATCATGAGCACAGTGACGGGGACAATGACGACGAGAGCGACAACGACGAGAGCGAACGACAGTGAGACGAGGGACTTAGCGCGCGAGCAGGGACATGCGCGCGCCTATATACGGGCATTATCTTATCGCCACTCTTCCAAAAACAGTGCCATCTTATCTTATCGTGACTCTTCCAAAAAAGGCAACTGGTTGGGTGTGCTCACTATCCCCCTCTTGTAGGGCAGATCGATCAGCGTGAAGGATAGCCCGCGCTGCGATGAACGTTGCGAAGGAGAAAACTCATCACTATCGCCTCCTCTGCCCTCTCCGAAGGATGATCATGCAAACTCGAGGCAAAGCACAGTCATAGAGAGGTTATGTCTGACGGTGAGTTATCCATGACGATAGTTGTAGTGCCGTTCGCGAGAATTTGTCGGAAGTGATCAGACGGTAACTTGAATGAAGGGTAAGCTCTTCAGAGACGTTTAACTGCAATCAGGGAAGTCATAAAAGAGAACTATGCATCTGTACATGTGAATTAGTCAAATCCTGGTATACCAGTGACAGAATGATAGCAGATAGCACATGGAAAGGTTCAGGGAGGCAGACAACTTAAGGCAACCCGGTGTGCGTGGCCACCAACTCGTACTGATCGGATCTAAGCGCCGTATATATGATCGGAACTTCCCGCGACCATCTACCTCTGCACTAAGCCATGAACTCGACGAGAACCTCTACATTTCATTCGTTCTGTTTCCGCTCTCTAACTCTAGACGACTTGAAGCGCTATCGTACATCTGCGCGATCTGGATTCTCACAAAGATACACTACTTGTAAAGAGAAGGAAAATGCCGATACAAAATACAATACACCATCCTGGCTTAAAGTCCGCTTCTCGTTGAGCGATGTATCCATCCATCCTCAGCTGAGTTCGCAGCAATTTCTCCGTTGCGGACAATTCATCCACTGGTGCTGTTGCTCTTCTTCTTGATGACGACGTACGAGTCTCCATTCTCCGGTGCAGGCAACGCCTCAACATCACCGCCGACGAAGCCCTCGCGCTCGGGCTGCTTCTGCTCGCGCTCAGCGCGGATCTGCATTGAAGTAAGCTTCATGAGCGAGGCGCTTCGAGCAGATACATTGGGGAGTACGCACCATGTTCAAGTCGTGACTGACCAGCCCATGGCCACCCACGGGCCCCCAATAGCTCGTCGCAGCGAGCGATCCGATGATGCAAGTGCCGACAAGGATCGACAGATAAAAGCGGTACTGCGAGTACCAAGCCGGTGCTGCAAATCGAAATGTTCAGCGTGTACATGGTCTTCTCCCACGGCATGCGGAACAGTATACTCACTCCAGCCGGCATTTGTAGCTCTCAAGTCCGCCCACCACAGGGCGGTGAAGCCAATCCATTGCGCAATGAGCGCATTCATGGGCATTAAAGCAAGAGTGGACCAGCCGAACACCACTGGAGCAGCTCCGAGCATTAGGCGGGAGTACCTAACGCGCCAACATCAGGTCAGTTGTTCCTATGTTACGCACGGAGAGCGAAGCGTACCCTTTGTGGCCTCCATAGCCAGCGAACTCGAAGCCCCAGTGGAGCGCGCCAAGGAAGGAGAGCAAGACTGCACCGTACGTGGTCTGGATGTTGAGCGCATGGTCGAGCATGGTGATAGCGACGCCGGGGTCAATGCTGGATACCAATTCTGTGGTGGCAATGCCCGCCTGGCGTGCAAGGTAGATGGTCGCGCCCGTCGCACCGAGGTACGGAAGACCACCAGCAAGACCGAACACGATATAAGGTCGGGGGACAGCTCGCGCGACGGCATCCGTGATTCCAAGCTACGTGGGATTGCAAGATCAAAAGCAGCCTCAAATGTCGAGACGCGAGATACTCACGAAAGTCTGCTGCGTCGGCTTGACCGCATCCTGGAACACGTTCCCACCCGCAATGACTTTGGCAAGGTCAGCAGTCGAGTTGCCAACCTCCTCCTTGATGTTCTGCGCGGCCTCGGCGGCAGTCTGTGAGCCCGGTCGTCCAGAGACGGTGCTCGCGGCCCCGCGCGCGAGGATCTGCCCTCGCAGGATCACAGAGGGCGCGCAGCACGGCATCGGACGCGGGAACACGGGCAGCGGCTGCTGTTTGTTCAACCTGAACTGGAACAGCGTCGGCGTGCGCGACGTGGTGGAAAGTTGTCGCCTGAGGATGAGCGGGGAACGATGAAGGGCGGGGGAGAGGCGGAACATGGTGACGATGGAGGTCGTGCTGGTGGTGGTAGAGATCTAGTTGAAGCCGTTGGTTGAGGATAGGCTTATATTGGCAGACCAACTGAGCAGCCGCGGTGCGCGCTCCTTGTCGGTGGCGCACCTTCGTCCTACGTCGGTGACGTCACGCCCTCCCGTCGGTCGGTTCATAGAATCTATTTTTTTAAGATCTAGCATTCTACATCATTGTATGCTATCCTTGACAGATTCACAAATTCGCAAAGCTGTCGGTTATGCCTGCAAATCAAGGCTTGAACGTTTGAACGATAGCGTGTAATCTCTCGCGTGTCCGAGCCGAGTGGCAATTCGTGAAAAGAAGGAAATGAGTAGCACGGCACATTAAGCCGCATAAGAGTACCTTGTAAACTACCATGCAGGCCAACTGAATGAAAGCAGAAATAGTGCAATTGCAGGGGGAATGATCGGTCTAACCTTTTGCACATCGGAGCGACCGGACTACCGCAAGTCAATCGTTTGAGATGCTGCACTCTTGCGGTATGCTTCTTCGACATCTGCATTTCGCGCCCATCAATGGAGATGAGGACTTTTGCACAATGAGCGAGGCAGCCTAACCACTACTACTTCGACTCGGGATCTTCTGGCAGGTACGCCTTCTTTTTGTACTTTAACTGGTCCCTCAACCACTGAAGCCACGTCAGCGCGAAGTTGGCCTGATCACATCACAAGTATACGTACCTGTCTATAATCATGCAACGAGCCGATCTTTTCGCCTAGAAAGCACACAATGCTTCGTCAACACAACATTGAGTGGCAAGCAATGCATGCAGGATGCATTGCTCGTCGCTGTACACGTACCGTAGAAATCTGGTACAGGGTTCGTCGCACTCTGTGCCGTAGGGTCCACTCTGTTCTTCACGATGTGCTGGTGGAACTCGCGGTCCCGCGCCTCGATGAGCGCCATCGTCCGCCGGTGTGTCATGCGCCATATCGAAGAGCCGATGACGGGCCCCATGAGATAGCCAAAGCCTTACGACCGTTGTAGATCAGTGATGTAGTGAGATAACGAGCGGAGGATCGATGCGTACCTGCACATCCGAGGGTAGCAAAGCCATACACGACCATAGGGTCAACGTTCTATTCATTCAGACGATTTGAGAAAGTGGAAGGGAACATGGAAAGGGACGTGACGCACGAAGATGGGCTTGGTCGGGTCCATCTCTAAGTTCCCGAAATACGCAATGCCGCCCGCGAAGCCTGCGATTGTCATCGGTACTGTCATAGCCTACATGAAAGCAAAAAGACATGCAGATTATGTCGACATCGCAATCGAGAAGTAGGAAGATGGCAAGTACACGCGTCGTTTTATTAGCATCAGTGCTTCAAACAAGCAAATCACCGACTCACCGTCTCCCATCTTCGCTTCTTCCTCCTAATCCTGAGGTAGTCTCCCCAACGTAACGTCTGCTTTTCTTGCTCCGTCACCTTCCCCGTGCCTTTCGTCGTCGCCGCATCCGGCGCACTCCCCGCGCCCGTAGCGTTCTTCGAAGGTGCTTTCGTCGAGTTGAAACGCACGCGTGCGCAAGGTACTGGACATGCATGTAAAACCCTAGCAGTCGCCTGACATGACCGCGAAAGAGGTCGTAATGGGCTCAGAGGTTGTAATGGGCTCAGCAGCGCGAGGCCTGAGATGGAGGCCATGGTTAAGTGTACGATCGAAGTTCGCGAGCTTGCGCGATGTGAATGCGGTGAGTGGCGCACCAGACTTTTGAACCCAGTCCTGCACAGCTCGCATGACCTTCGCCTAGATTCGTTTTCCGTCCGGCTTATCCCGCAATGCATGTGGCCACACAATTGGCTCGGTAGCAAAACGGCGATTTATGCAAATGGGTTGACTCTTGTCAAAGATTATGTTGCATATTTGAGAAATGGGTGATGCTGTGAGTCGCATAGTACCAATATGATCAACGAACAGGGAAAGGGCGATTCTTTGAATCAAGTACGTTCATGGTCAATTGATCACCGCTATATGCGCGCACATGGTTCACAACTTGAATCAACTAGACTGCAAGGGAAGTGAAAACAGCCCGTCAAGCTGTGCTCTACTTGTACAAGCTAGCAGGGTACACTGGAACCTTCTTCCAGACCAGATACAACCAATCCCCCTTCCTCCCCTCATTGATATTGGTGCTCATGCCGTTGAACCCTTCATCCTCCACCTGGTCGTAATTCACCGAGTCGCTCGAACGCCAGAGCTTGATACCTGTGATTTTCATATTCTCGCATATGTTCTTGACTGGGACAGCGTGGCGGAAATCACCGTCCGCCCCCCCAGCTAGATCTCTATACCCTGGCATTGACCTTTCATGTATAATGATATCGAAAGAAGTGCATGCATCGTCCACAGAGGTCGTATACTCCGGAACGAGGCTGACATATCTAGCACGTCATTTTGTATCAGATCTGAGAGAAACGTTTACGAGAGAAAAATTGACAGGTACGCACTGTCCTTCGAAACCAGCATTGATGTCAGTTTTGCCACCGTGAATCTCCCTCACACGGTCGATAGGTGCTCCTCCGGGAGTATCGCTACATACTACCTAAGAGATCGATATCATGGATCATTCATTCAGCGGACATAGGATGCGCGAGTACATTGAGGCACTTGATGAACTCAACAGCCTTGACTTCCACGGTGATCACAATCTCCTTGAAGCGCTCGCTCTCTGACAGGAGAATTGGGGTCGTTTTGAAGACATCGCCGCTCACGCTGATCCCGGGAGCACTGAAATTCTGCTGGTATAGGACCAGTCTGCTGTGTGGCCCAACTTTGTCTGCTCAGATCGGAATGCGGCATCTCGTTAGCTATGTCCCACATTTTCGACTAATATATCACTCACATTCTCGATTGAATTCCTTAATGATGGTCTCTATCTCATGGTCGCCCTCCGATATGATGGCGTTCTCCAGCGTGCGATTGATCTCCTCTCTGATATCAACATTGCTTGAGACCTTGGCAGAGATAGGCCCATATGATGCGCCTGCCTTAACAGAGGCACCGTTTGTCGTGTCCTCTGTGTGAGCGACCTTCGAAACCTCTTCTCTGAAAGAGCTCGACTTGTATGCCTCGCGCGTCGCAAAATTGTAGCTCTGATTGATTATCACTGCGTCATGAGCGTGACATAGGGTGAGCATCACAATTGGCACTGCATAGTATCGATGATACTAACCGGTGTTAGAGCCGTTGTCATAGTCAAAGACGAGTTTCCAGTACAGCTGGCCCTTGATCTGAATCGTTAGAGGGGCCATGGTTGTGGCACAAGTTTGCAGTACGAACGAGTTTGGCAATTCCGAAGACGAAGAGTGGCGGTCTGGAGAGCAGCGAGAGGAACCGCGCCTTTTAACTCACTTTTTAGGGCAAGCAAGGATCCCACGAAATACGGGCGGTTTCAATGCCGATAGACAGGCGCCTGCGCGCATACATCGCATTCATGTCATTGGAGAGCATAATTCGCTAGGATGAATTGAAGTTGTCGCGCATGACCGCCGGTACATCGAGCCGTTAGGCAATCCATTGTGGAGTTCGAAGCACTATAGCAAAGTTCATTGCAACGTTCCAAGCGTAAGTTAGGAGGATAAAGCCTGCACAGAACGTGGTCAACACGGTCAGAATACCGAGGAATACAGGCTGCTCATGACAGAATGAACAATGAACATATAGGCAGTGGCCCCGCGAGCTTCGCGTGATGTACAGTATACGGTGAGCGCCGCACTAGACTATGAACCCAGTCCTGTACGCTCAAGCGCGCATGATCATGATCATCGTCTCGACTCCGCCCGGCTCACCCCGGGCCGCGATGCAGCCACGGCCACACAGACTCACAGAGACAAAAATGTCTCGCTTGCTCTGCTGCTCATCAGGATGCAGCTACTGATATTGATACAATAATGCAGGAGCAGCGCAACCCTCAGTAGATATGCATAGCCTCATCAAAGTATTTTCATCAAACTCAGAGCAAGGTTATCGGAGCGTATAAATAAATAAACTGTACGAATCACTACGATAACATGAGGCAGGTCGCAATCTTCCCCACCCGCGCGCGCCTTCAGTCAGTTAACTGCTATTTTGCAAAATCCGTTACTTTAGCTAGTGCAGAGCGCAACAGTCAGGGTGCACAGAAAACTGGCCGGTGGCCACAGGTCCAAACTGGACGCCACAGGTGGCAATTCCGAATAACTCTCTCGGACTCGGGCGAACTGGAGCCGAGCCTGGATTTTTCGCCTTCCACCACCGCTCCGAACAAGGCTCAAGCGCTCCGGCCGGTGAGACGGAATGCAGTCACCAGCCAATTGGCGTCCTCTGCATTTGATCAACTCGGACTCCGGAGACGGGAGGCACCATGCCCTTCCCGGAGGCCAGGTGTAACGATCCATATATCAAACGAAAACTAGCAACTACACACAGCCTGCACAGATTTATTTTTCCACGGGAAACCTGATGAAAAAATGGTGAAAATATCTTAAGTCTGGATATGGAAATAGTTTGGAAATTGGGCGGAGACAATTAAATTATGTTACAATTGCTTCACCGAAACATATCGGTATCACATATTTTTGGACTGAAATATCTTCCTTTGGGAAAAAGTTTCACTATTGCTGATACGTTTCAGTAAAACAATCGTAACATAATTTAATTGTCTCCGCCCAATTTCCAAACCATTTCCATATCCAGACATAAGATATTTTCACCATTTTTGCATCAGGTTTCCCGTGGAAAAATAAATCTATGCAGGCTGTGTACACTCGTTCTTCAGCTTCCATCGTGCCAGCACTGCACGGTGAATACCTAGCAACGTACCTCCAGACCATCGAAAAGAAAGTGACCTCGCAACGCAGGGGTGGCGACAAGACGATGCCCGCAGTCCTCCCGCTCGAGCTCTACGACGAGGCAATCGACCACCTCTGGGACGATCCCAAAGCGCTCGCGGCGTGCAGCCTCACCTGCCGCGCTTGGGTGCCTACCAGCCGTCTACACCTGTTCCGCACCGTGCGCGTGCAGAACGCAAAACACTGTGCAGGCTTCGCCGCCGTCCTCGCCGCTGCGCCCGTTATCGCGCGGTACGTGCACCGCCTCACCATCAGCGCAGAGTACGACGGTTTCGACCAGTCAGGGCAGGCCGTGGAGGATGACGAATGGGTGAACGACGTTGTGAAGTGGGTGGACAAGCTCGAGTGCGTGCGCACTGTCGGCTTGTCAAGATTGAGGTGGGGCGCGCTGATGCCGGAGACGCAGGATACGCTCATGCGGCTCTTCAAGAACGTGCGGATGCTCTTCCTCTTTGAGGTGCGTTTCGATGCCTCAAGGGACGTGCTGGACTTCCTGTCGGCGTTCCCGGTGCTCGATGAACTGTACTTTCATGGCGTCTCCTGGGCGCATGAGTCGCCTGCTCCGTTGATGCTCTCTGGACGGGAGTCACTATCAAAACCGCAAATCATGGCAAAGGACCAAGAGCGGATGCAGCTATCGTACCTTTTTCTGGACCCACGCTCCTCACCAATGCTGGTCACTGAGTGGCTGCTCAGTCACCCTTCAGAACAGCGTCTTCGAACCATCCAGTTGTGCTGGCGGGAAATCGACAACATGAAGGCAGTCGGAGACTTGTTACACGCAAGTGGAGCGTCACTTGAGTGTTTGCTGGTCGAGTTCCCCGATGGCGTACCAGAACAAGGTCAGCGCAAGATCATCGCTTGTCTGCCGTACACACCTGACCTGTCGTTGATAGCTGTGCTAGAAAACGAGATCAGCCTCGTCCACAACACCGGACTGCGTTCGGTGCACTTCGGCGGGCTAAACGTGCAAGCCTCACGAGTGTTTCTCTCCAATCATCTCTTTCCCTGGGTGACCGCGATGCTCTCCCAGATCCGCTCGACGCAGCTCCAGGAGATCACGTTTGAATTCGAGATCACTACCGTGCGCGACCTTCTAAGCCTCGATTGGGAGCGAATCGACCGCGACCTGTCCCGTCAGGAATTCAAGGGTCTCCTCGTGCTTTTCTATGTCAGCTGTGAGGACTCGGTGGCCACGGTCACGAAGGAGGTGCAGGAGCTGATCTCTGGCCGCCTTGGCGGCTTCCGCGAGCGCGGGACGCTGTGCGTCTCGTGTGTTTGAAGTCTGGTGGTCCCGCTGGTGGAGGCGGGATGTCGGTCAGGATCCGCGCCTGCTCTTGTCCCGCACATTCGGATATGCGGATCCTGCTGCCTCTGCACCGCCGCGCTTTCTGCCTATGATTTTCGCTGGGATCTAGAATATAGAGTTAAAAGAAATAGATGCTTCGTTTCTTTTCATTAGACTTTACGGACGTTATGTGTATAGACACAGGAGATGTATTTGATGATCAATATCCTTGTGGTCGACTAGCAAGGTAGTGGTCTTCAGGTGTGAGGACGTCGTGTGTGACATAACGTGACCTCACGTAACGCCGCTTTTGTCACGCCAGGTCACGCTCATGGATACTCGCCGGGCGAAACGCAACCTGCATCAACGTAGTTGCATATTCGGAATGGCATGCATATGATAGCCAGCATCTCTGCGAACAATATCAGCTCGACGCACTTCCGAAACAAGTTCCTCGCCGGAATCGGCGAGCTGTCCTACGGGAGACTCTGTTTGCGGACGTGCGGCCCCAATGGTGACGGTGTCCCGAGGTAACTCAGCCTGTTGTGAGTGGTCGTCTCGCATGCTAAAACACCACCCCTGCAGTTGAAGTGATCGGTTCGTTTAAATATCATTCATCATCCGATTTCTGCCAGTCCAGTTGCAGGTCAAATGCCGCCATCACATCTTTGATCCGCTCGAGCACTTGTGCTCGGAGTATGCATGCTCGCCTATGGAGACGTGAGTTATCCCAAACGCGCTTGGCTGATTGATCAAAGAGTACGTCTTCATCAAGGACGGATACAGAATTCATGCTGACCTGGGTATTGATGTGACAGATCATAGACGGGTGGCGATGCAACAACTTGCACAGCAGGTCTGCCGACACGGACGCATAGTAAGAGCGGCAATATTGCAGCTACTTCATCGTTCACTACCGCACCACCCGTGTCCTACTTGAACGCTCTCCTACGCACATTCGTGTCGTTATATTCTTACGTTTACGCCCGAATCATAGGCGACTTTCTAAAGTATCAACAATCCATGCTGGTGCTCACGCGGGCCACGCAGAACTCATGGGCACTGGCACTGGCATCAACCCTTTCGCCCACCAGTATCCCTTCACCGAGGCCAGATCTACAAGCATTGACAGCGCCACGCTCCTCGCCGCGCTGCTCGCATCCGAATGCTTTGACGAAATCTCTAACGTGGAGGACTTCGGGAGCGTCCGCGACTACATTGTTGGGCACGGCCGCTCGGACGCAGACGGGCGCCTCGCGTTCTGGGTGTATTCCACTGGCCTGCATGGGCCGTTCCATGAGACTGAGGAAGGCACGATCGAGCGGCATGGATTATTGGTCACGATTGAGAGAAGAGCGAAGGTGCAAGATGCGATGAGGAGGATTCGGGAGGAGTCCTCGATAGGTGGGATTGGGCATGTCCATATTGCGGCTGCTTGAAGTAGACGCACCATTGTAACAACTTGAGCAGTGTCTGTAGCAGAATGTAGCGCGACCAAGGAGTTGGGCGACTCTTGCTCGCTTGCAAGTGTCCATGTAAGCCTCTCAATGCTACCAGGCTAACAAAAGTTACTACGAAAGGCATGCACGTACTCGGGTACTACCCCAAGAATGGTTACCGAAGATTCCCCCAGAAGCTGCATCTTTCGAGGCGTCAGCGAATCACGCAAAGTTGTGGAGATCGTACCGTAACTCTTATTGATTGGGAGGATGATTTTAGGAAGGCGATGAGAAATGACCTGCGCCGCCATAATGGCTGCAAGTGCTGTCCGAAAAGTTATACGGACTACGCAATCCGATCCAGGTCACATCGCTTCGACGATCGTTCTTGGTTTCGTGGCTATGGCGGGTACAGGAAAGGCCTCTCGCAAATCAAAGGCCTACTGAACGCCTAGCTGCGGATATTCTCCATCCATATCCTATTCGGATATATGCCATTTGTAGATGGCGCATAGCACGAATCTCAAGTCGCTTTGACTGGCAAGATTATTTGACTTAGTGACGCACAGCATGACGCTTGAAAGGCTCTCTTCAGCCACACCTCTGCCGATAGAAAATAGATATTCAAAATGTCTGCTACACAGAGCGACTTGAAGATGGCAAGTAACATTGCAAATGTCTGACTACATAGGACAAAGTATGACATAAATGCAAAACAGGATCCGCGCGTGATACGTATAGTATCAGCGGTACTTGACAGCGAGGATTGTACCGATCTTCCAAAAGCCAATAAAAACGGAAGCAGGACGCCTGCGTCCTAGTATAGGAAAATGTCGCTGTTGAGAAAGAATTGCGGACCTGAAATACACAAAGTCAGCGTGGACGTTGCGCGAATGAGGCACCTAACTCACCAGATTCCGAAACACCTTATACGAACACCTCCAGCTCCTCGCCTTAGTAGTCGTCCTCCCAATCGTCTTCTTCCTCCCAATCCTCTGCGGCCTCTCCCTCCACCTGCCTTTGCTCCACATCGTCCTCGCCGCCTTGGCCGAAGGGTCCAGCCTCCATGGGTACCTCAACCTCCTGTGCTTCACGACGACGGTGTTGATTCGAAGGGCCGGCAAGCATTGTCTCGTCTGGGACAGCATTTACCCGGCTGGCGGTGGCTACGGAAGGTTCCGTCTCTGGGCCGACTGCGGGGATGCCGTTTGAGGCATCAGAAGGGATCACAAGGCTGGGTATGTCGATGTCCGCTTCAATCTGCATGCCATGATCTGAGCGCACAAACGAGGGAGTATCGGATTGCTCCCTCTGTGCGGCTCGGGCCGTTTCTTGGATGTTTAGCAGAACACGAGAGACAAGAATTGTATTCAGCCTATGACATGCATGAGTACCTGTTGCGATGAGCATGAACCATGAAACCCAACGGTTGGTCCAAATTGTTGATAACATATTGGGCGTTCTATATAGGAGGTCAGGGTTTTTAAGAAGACATTCAGCAGCATCAGTATGAGAGTTGGCGGATGTCTGGGTCACTGACCTGGCCAATAAATGTTGATATGTTGATGCCGGCATTCAGCAGTAGTAGTGTTCTATGGCGATGTCTCAGTTTTCGCTGCAACGGACAAGAGTTGGCCGCGTACACGAACTGAATCGTACCTGCATACAGCAAAAGAGATTTGACTCAATCACGATCCAACAACTTAAGCTTTGCTCACCATCTCTCAGCAACAATGCCACGAGTGATGGCCTCTGTGAAAACACTCCAGTGGAGTTCCGGCCGAGTTGTTTGTATAGCATCGTCCAGATGACACCGAGCACTAAAACATTGCTGACCACAGAAATAACAAGGAGGGCGATTGTTACTACGAAGTGACATTCAGTGTGGCTCATTTACAAAAGAAAAAGTCCGCCTAATCAGCTTACGCCTGGCAGTTGACGGTTGAGAAGGAAATATGAGCTGTCGACAGTATGAGTTGCTTACTTTGAGTCGGTGCTCGCAAATGAATTCTGTGGGAACGTGTAGCATATGGCCGTCGATCCTAGGACAATGACCCCGGTTGATTCGTTCACGAAGTCTTCTCACGAAAAGAAAGTTAGTGATGGAATGAGTCGTTCATTCCATTTATCGTAGAGCACGTACCTTCGACAATATCGAGCCCCAATAACACAATGCCTGTCAACGCAATAATTATGGTAGGACGCCAGTCACGTTCGGTCACCGCATATACTCGCTGTACCGTGACCACTGCGATAGGATGTCAGTATCTGGTTGAAACACGGTGCACGTACACTTACCTAGGGAAACGGCCGCGATTGCGAGCGCAAGACCGTAAAGTGCGTAATTTACTATTTCACAGCTGAATGGCATGAAATGTGACAGGTTTCGCAACTTCGTGAGCTAGAGGACTTGTAACGAACCTCTGCCGTGGCATTCTGTCAGACTGCCATGATCAGATTGAAGTTCCGTCGCAATACATACAGTTTGTGAGTGTATATTCATTGTCGGTGCGATATATACAGCGCCATAGATGAGCGTCACAAGTCGATTGATGAAGAAGAGAACTGCCGGGAATGACCTCTTTCCCCAAAAGAATTTAACCTCTTGGTTGAGCGTAGTAATATGTTCATAGAATATGAGGGCTAGATCGGGTCATCGACGTAATGCATTACAGCGTTCAGCTACGATCACACTCACCTGCTCCGGACGCATAGGCACAATTCGCCAGGAAGCTATGCGTGACAGGCCCTCAGAATTAGCAAACTGGCTAAGAGGGGGATACTTAAAGCTCACTTTGCCTGGAGCAGCCCGGTCGCCGCGGAGTTCGCACTCGCCATGATATCGAATAGGAGTGGCTAACAAGGATGTGAGTAGCAGCTCATTCTGGTCAGCTATTTGACGTGCTCAAAATGTGATCATCAGATGCAAAGCGAGACGCATTTACGGTTACAGAAGCACAAATATTCTACCTTTGGTGGAGTTGACCAGTCGACTGAGGATTCTGCGCAGTTCTCACCGTACGCTGGGCTCAACTGAGCTGACATTCTCAGCATCTGCCGCTCACATCCGACTCCATCGCAACCATCGCATCCAGCGGGCAGACATCACGTCGAGCACACTATCGCCGTTTGAGATCTCCTGCATCGCTGACAGTATGCAACTATCTTCCCATCGATGGTGTCGGGACATATATGATACGAAGAGTCAGCACACTCGTTTCAAACCAGCAGCTGCCTGCGCCATCTGTACTACGACCGTCAAGCGAATATGATCCATCTCGGTACTTGCACGGATGAAATCCACCGCGTGAAAAGGAAAACGCGTTTCCAGCGCACCTGGGGCCTCGGGTGCCGATGATGCCGGTATTGGTGATCGCGTCGTCAGCCGCAACTACAAGGAGACCGTACAGCCGCGTATGATTTAGGCTGAAACAGTTCGTTCAATGTTGCCCACAGATCTCGTTGTCGTCGTAGGCACTGGTTTGAGACTCGGCGGTGACTTGGATGTTGCTCGAGGCGGCGATGCTTGACTTGATGAGTTCATCAATGTTCCAGTATGCTCTTCTAGGCAGAACGCATATTTGATGATGTTCAGAGCAGAGATACTATGTAGGACAGAATGATGTGCAACAGGTACTGTTTCTTCCTCGGTGGAAAAATACATATTACAGATGTTAAGAGTCTCCGAGACTTGGCGCTTGCGCTTTTCAAAACGTGATTGGTGGCCACAACAGCACGTGATCACGCATTGATCATAGCGACAGAGTCGAGCGACTGCAGTTCAAAAATTAGCTGAAACCCGAGAACTTGCGGATTGGCCGTCTCAAATTTAAAAGTAACAGCAGCACCACCCTGCTTCCACGGAAAAGACGAACCAACCTCAGGCTTTCGCTCACCGGATCATCCCCGGGTCGACACGTGGCCATTCACGAAAGCTTACATAATTCCACAGTACGCGTACTAACCACGAAGTACAATTACATTGACTGTTCATCACCGTCGCAGGACATACGACACACGGCACGGAGCGTATCGAGGTCACAGGGAAGGAAAGATCCTGGGATGGGTGCGGACGGTGCCGCGGATATTTCGTCGCGGGAGTAACATTAGAAAAACGGACCAGAACATTGACTGCACAGGGATAAGCAGTCGTTGTATCAGATGCAATGAGTGAGCCGAGCCGAAGAGGATGGCGGCTGGGATGGTCGTTCAATGCTGCGCCCAGTCGATAGTGCTGATATCGATGCCGTGCTGGACCATCTCCCACAGTGGGTTATCAAAATATCATAAGTCAGCTACCAGTCATCAAACCATATAATGTGACACGGGCACGCACCTATGTCCCGCGGGCGCTGCACAACCGCAACATTAATCTAGATTAATCTTCTCATTCACGTAGGAGCGGTTTGGTCGTGAATTGGCCCATACGGAAGCGCATCGATAGATGTGCCATGCCATCTTCTGCAGCGCCGAGCGCGCGAAGCGCGTACGATGAGGTGCGATGGTTCGAGCAACGCGGACGTGCACGCTTCTGCAACACGAACCCAAATTTAGTATGTGTATCTCACAATGAGCTGGTCGTAGATATGCACGTTCCCAAGAGCATCTGTGAGCAATCGCCATGTCTCGAGCAATCTGGACCGCAAGCCATTGTGGGGTGATTTAGACTGTCCGAGACAAGCGGATGAGCCAACTACCGCCGGAGGGTTGTCTCGGCGATTGGGAGGGTCGATTTTGTCATTGTCGCTCACTCATCCCGGCGATGGCAAAGGAGCTTTCTTCGTAATGAAGACTGTAGCACACCATCGTGCTTGCCAGTGACCCATGTGGACATCGCAAACTAGGCGAGCGCACGCCGACTTTGTCCTGGATTGATAAAGGAGTTCGAAGACACAAGCTCGGGTGGCCAGAGGATCTGAGTCAGTTGGGCTGACGGAGGGCGGATCACGGCCACGTGAAAACGCGCCCATACGTAACCATCCGGCAGCAAACCATTCCTCAGACGAACGACGTTCGGAAAAGTCGACGATCGGAAAGCCCTCAAAGTTCTCCCAGCAAAAACTCGTGTTTTACTCCTGTCGAGCTCGCCCTGCATAAATTCTTTCTGCTCTCGGTCAAAAGGCACTGCCATATCCACAACGCACAGCTCTGGCTTCTCTGAGCACCAAACACAGCCGGCCTCTGCCTTGGCGTGGTCATGACTGTCAAACACTCAGGACTAATCGCATACCATCTTCGCTTCACGTGCAAGGCGTTCTGTCGGTGGAAGGCTCTTTCAGATATGGATATTCTGTTCCTTGCGCTCCGATACCTTGTGGTAGGGGTCGCGAGCGCACTTCTCGCGATAGTTGGGATGTTTCTGGTGAGCTGGAGACATGACTTTCTGGAGTCTGGCGTGACCGATCAGTTCTTCTCCCAGAGCGTTGTGTCGGCTGTGGGCCACGCGATTCCGTGCTTGATGCCGCTCGCGCCGCCGCCGATAGATGAGGCGGCCCTGACTGCAATCGTCAACCGCGGTCGTCGGCGAACGCGTAGCCCCTCCACCGTAACGCTTTATTCTGTCTCGCTATCACGCCATTCTGCGTCCTCGTCTGCTATGGAGGTCAGCGGCGAAGAGCAGCCTGGCGAGCCTGCTTCGACGACGCACGGTGGGTCTATCTCCGCCAAATTGCCAGGAGCACCGCAAGCCCCCCCTGCCGGGATACCCGTGCTCCATCCTCCAGAGTGTGCGAATCCTCGAGCTGGTCCATCATCTGCTGCCAGTGGTCTGCCAAACGCCATTGAGCTCGACGTCTACAACCATCCACTTGTAAATTCTATAATTGCTCCTGAGCAGGTCTTGCCAGTGGGATCTCCAGCATCGTCGGAGACTATCTTCAGTATACCTACCGTGACAGAGGAGCTCACTGAGGATGAAACGATACCCGGAGGGACGCAGAGAGCAGGCAGGGCTTATAGCTCGTCACACGGAGAAGGTGCGTTGATTATGTTTGTTAACTTGCGCCTTTTCGTTGATGTGCTCTCCTAAAGCGTCAGTGAAACGGAGACTGAGCTGGCTTTCACGGAGGCCACACATCTCGCCACCACGCATTCCTCGGACGGACCCATACCAAGCGCCATACTTCTTCCCCACTCCGCAATCGCCAGAAGCGGCGGACTATGTCCGTCAAGTCAAACTCAGCCGTGCGGCCGGTGCACGGGTGACGATGGAGCAGTACTACCAGTGTGCCGTCGACGACTTCATGGCCGCACCCGTGCGGCGTGGACGCTCTCTGTCGAAGGACGAGAACCCCCTTTCACAGCGGGAGTCTGCGGTGATTTCCAGCTCCGAGTCGGTTGTGCGCAGAGCATCGTGGGCTGCGTCCTCGTCCACCCGGTTTCGCAGCCCGCGGACATCCATGGCGATAGACCGGAGATCGACCGTCGCTCCGGCACCGACTGCGAGCGAGCAGACGATGGCAAGCGAGCATCCTGCACCGGCTCGCCAACGTCAGCCTCTTGCTGCGCCGTCGAAACCTATTCTGCGCAAGTCTCCCAGGTGAGCTCTGCCACTACATTATTGTCGCACTGCGGCTCAATGTTTAGATTCTCTAGCCCTCCCGCGCGGCAATCGCAAATCCCTGTTAGAGTGTCCGACGCGACATCCGCCACAGCGAGAATCTCCGCTGAGGCACCGCAGTCTTCGCCGTATGTACCACCGTCGCCGGCGCAAGAGTCGCACCACACCACACCACCAGCACGAAAATCTTCCTGGAAAGATCGCTTTCGTCGTCATCGCCGTACTGCCAGCGTGGACGTCTCCGAGCCGAATCGTCCCAAAAGCTCGAAGAAGATTACGTTTCCATGAATTCCTCATCTTCCATTGTTAAGCCTCCCATCTCACTGTATCATTACATCCATCATCCATCATCATTGCTATTCCGACCAAATGCATTCTCATCACAATGATAGCATGTCGCTCTCAATAACTTATTCTCCTAAGTATTTCCTCAACGCCACTTGCTCCGCCAACCCCCAGTACTGTTATCATAGGCATCCCGATGTATCTACTCTAAAACTTCTAATTTAGAGCGTTTGTAGCATTCCTCAGTTGAAATCGGACGATGTGGCCACAACACCTGGCTACAACAGCTGCTGAGAATAATCATTGAGGCCCTGAGGAACAGGCGCCGAGGGATTTCGTCTGAGGCTGATGACTGCGGCAATCCTAGTACTCGCATTGGACCTCAAATATTGCCCATCCTTCTACCAAGCTCGGCTGCATTGCAGGCACAACTCATATGAACTCTCAGATGCCGTCAGAATATGTGGCTGCAATCAAGCCGTCTTAAGTGCACTGTGCGCCGGGTCACCCGCATGTCCCGGTGATTCCTCAACCTTGGTGATATTGGTGTCCGTCATCAGCGCTCAGCACTCGAATTCAGCATCGGTACGTATTTATTCGCTGATGTCCGAAGTCGAACGTTTTTTTGTCTCCAGCGGAGGAAGGGTCCATGAAACAAGGCAGGGACGTGCTCATTTCGGATGCGGTCATGTGATTTACGCGTCTTGGTTCATTCCCCGCAACTTCCTTGCCTTTTTCAAACATCTTTCTACCTTTGCCACACAACACCATAAGCACCCTTTCGGCTGAAGGGTTTTTATGCGAGGATGCTGGCAGTGTGCACGACAAACTTGCTCTCGTACCTGGATTCGATAACGTTGAAACGCGCACCAGTTTGTGTGCCACCGACATGCGCCCTGGACGTCGAGCCAACTTGCATCGTGTGGGCCCCGGACAACAGTGCTCTCTTCATCTCTTCAAAGGAGAGTATATTCAAGTATGACTCCTCAGAGCGCCACTTGAAACCTGTATACCTATCGTCGCACCCCTCGTCGATCAACGCGCTGGCGAGCAAGGACCGTGGCAGCACACTCATCTTCAGCCAAGGTCAACAAGTGCTCATCCTGGAGACTCATTCAGGACGAATTGTGCAGAAGTTTGACTCTCACAAGGCACCGGTCACTTCTATCGCGCTTTCCAACGACGGCAGCCTTCTTGCGACCACCTCCGCTGCGGCCGTGCACATCCATAATCTCTCACATGGATCGCATACGGTCCTCCGTGGGCTCACATCAATATCAGGCTCTATTACCGCGTGCCAGTTCAGCCCACATTCTCGGACGAGGCTTCTTATAGGTGCTGGCGCGCAGCTGCTGGTGTATGACACGACTCGCCCCTCCGGCCCCATCAAGTCCTTCACCTTAGGCAGAGAAAGGAGCCTTGGCGAGATTGTGTCTGTGGCGAGCAGCCCGTTCAGCAAGACACTCATTGCAGTCGCGTGCAGCGGCGGGACAATACATGTGGTCGATCTCGAGAAGGACAAAGGGTGAGTGCTCTGGTTCATGTGCGCGGTCCGTGTTGGCTGACGTGTGGCCGGAAGCATTCTCCGCGCGTTGTCGGTACATGTACCGTTGACCTCGCTGGTGTTCTCTGCTGAGGGCGTCACGCTGTATGCTGGTACCGAGAACGGCAAGGTCTTGATCCAGGACCTGCGCTTGCTTGACAAGGCACCAAAGTCCATCATCATAAGTGCGAAGGGGGAGCGGGTGGTAGCGATGTCAGTCCAGGTGTGTTTGCCTACTCCGATTGCTGTTTATGTTTGATAGAGCCGTTGTGCTGCAGCAGAAGCTCAAGACGCAAGAGGCGCAATCCAAGCCCATCGTCGCTACGTCCAGCAAGCCTCTCCTCACACAGGACACGAACAAGCATCCTGTTCGTCACACCTCGGCTGCTACTTCTGTCCCCGGAGCCGATGAGAAGGCTCAGGTTGCAGAGAATGCTCCACCCCCCATAGCCGAACGTACTGCCTCCCGCGGGGGAACTCCTGGCAAGCTGCGCGCGCTCGCCGAGAGCTCCCCACGCCCTGCGCGAACTATGCGGGCGGGCATCACCTCTCCGCTATCCAAGGGGGTGAGTAGCGGAGGTATCACCAAGCGCGTGATATCGCCGCCCAAAACGCCTCTTCATAGACGGTCGACGAGAGCTATTCTGGAGGAGGCGGATGTATCAGGTCAGTCTATTCCTTGACAGCTATCTCATAGAGGGCTAAATATCCCGTTAGTACACATCGAGAACCTCCTCGCGCCTCTTCCGGGGCGGAGGGCGAAGGAAAACGTCGTTCCAATGGATATCGACCCTAAGCCCGTACCTTCTGATAGCACATCTGTCCCTCCGCCTGCCGTATCGCGTACATCTTCGGGGCAGTCCTCACGCACGAGTGACATGGTGAGAAGCAGGCCGGCCAGTGCTGGGACCTTGGTGACCACGTCTACGACATCAAGAAAGCGTTCGGAGTCCACTAGCACCTCGGGTACATCGGTATCAGCAGCGCGCAGGACTGCTAAGTCGTCGACCGAATCAACTGGTCCTCGCGCGCATCCTCCAGTACCATCCGTGCACGTTGAGCCCGCGGCGATCTCATCGAAGAGCCGTACTCTGCAATCACAGACGCCTAGCCTGGAGCTGCCTGACATGCATGCTCGGTTGCCAGTTACTCCCAGAAAGCGGAGGGGCAAGGAAAGGATGGCTGTGCTTGGTCTCGGATCACCCGAGTTAGACCGGTGGTTCCGAGCAGGAGATGAAGAGATAGAGGAAGATGCACGAGAACAAGGGGCAGACAGCAGGAGGGTCGGCTTTACAAGCAAGAGCAGCAAAGACAATGAAGCTCGGGATGAACAGATCGATGACAACGATAAGTTGGAGGTCCCACGAGGAGCAGTCCCTACCTTCACGGTCGAGGTTTCCCCTAGGCGACCACTCCAAGGCAACGTGTCGACATGGCCGTCTGTAACATCGCCTCTTCGCAACCTTTCTCCTCATCCCGCATCGCCAGGCTCGCATGCGGCGGCTAATCTCTTGCAGGGCATGCTGCGCGACGCGATGTACGACTTCCGGCAAGAGACGCGGTCACAGCTGACTGGCCTACACTTAGACATGCTGAAGATGGGCAGAGGCATCCGGACGGAGTTGCGCACGATTGTCGACGAGTTCCGGGGAGAACTGTCTACGCTGCAGGAGGAGAATCGGCAGCTGAGAACGGAGAACGAGCGGTTGCGAAGAGGATATTGACATGATCATTGATAGTGTCATCGCGTATGCAGGGCCTTGCCGTTTGAACCTGGAGGGGTCATGTATATGATATATGATCACTTGTATGTAATCATAAGCCTGTTGGACTCAAGACCAAATTATCACTTTGGATATGTGGGTCACGTGACCGTGTCGGCAGCGTGACACCTCGCGTCAAGACGCGACAGTCACGCGTGGTGCATCTGGTCATTGTCTGTTGTCTCTCCTGTCTCTGTTCCTCAGCAACATTTCCCTCTGTTTTTTGTCGGCTTTGGAGAACGCTGCTCGATTCACGACGTGCTCTGCTCTAACTCATTGCTAGACGATTGCTATGACAACCTCTCCTCCTAGGAGCACCGTCCGCAGCCTTGTCTTCTGGCACGGCGAAGATGAGCTGCCAGATGTTCCTTCCCGCAAAGCCTTGAGTGACTGGGACGAATATGAAGACGAAGTTGTTGCAGCACAGCCCAATCCTGAGAGGGGGCAGTCTATGTACGTCACGCTGTTCGAAGGTATGTAGACTTGAATTACGCTTGAGCCAACTCCGACCTGTCTGCATGTAGATATGCTGAAGACGGTATTTGCTCACGAGGCGCATCTGTTTTCCCAGGAGGAGCTTGGGTGCTTCATGAAATATAGCGTTCTTCCATGTATGCTGCCATATTATTGCTTGAAATCGTTCGGACTCTGATTTCAATGTCGGTAGATGGGGAGCGCTATCTACTTGTTCGGCTTTGTCTTCGTAAACCTGGAAAATGGCACCGCCTCAGTGACCTGGAGAAGAGATATAAGAGAGAACTCGGCGTCGAGCTCCCGGACGTTGTCCAGAGATTATGCAAGCGTTTCGACACGAGCTCTAATCAAGACCCGGTCAACGTTGAGGTCAAACTTGAGCAAGACATTGAGTCCTTCAGCATCAACCGCCGTGGCAGTTCTACCGCTTCAGTCACGTCATCTGTGAAGGTCAAAGTAGAGGAACGAGAAATCATTGATTTGACCTTGGATGATGAAAAGCACCGTCCTGCGCCTCACCCTTCTACCTCACGTGAACACAATTTCAATTCAATTGATCCTATCAATAAATCGGAATATCCATCATTCGCGGATGATGAGGCCCATGCTTCTCTACGGGAGTTGCTCGAATGCCTGATACGAGAGGAACTCATCCTTGTAGCGAAGCAACTGGGCCTCAAAGCTTCCGGGAATGTGAGTCAAATCACGACTGTTGCGAAATCTGTCGCTGATGGTAGTGCCGTTCAGCAAGATGATTTGATTGAAACGATGCTGTCCTCATCATCGGTCCAGGCAACTCTTCCCTTCGCCATTAGCTCGTTTCATGCGAAAGCTAAACAGAGGGCGGACAGTCTGATGCAAACGAAGCTGCCCTTTTTATCTCAGAAGAGGCAGATCCATAGGCTGCGAGAGATGGTCACGAGACAGTTGGGTGCGCAACCGTTGTCTTCTTCAATTTACGTCAATTGAACGTAGACGTATCCCAAAATGGCTAGGTAAATGCCTCAGGATTAATGAGAATGTGATGAACCTATTCCGTCGTGTGAACATGGTGTACTTCCGGAGGTTCGTGCGATGTCCACTTTAGAATGTCGGTCACCTTCTACGGCACACGAGTGCACACACTTATGTCTTCCGCCAACGGTGCTGACTATCTATGTTTACAGTACGGAGCACACTCCGTCTCTCATGGTTCCGTCTATCCTGCTTCGGTCCAAGAAGCGAGCGTATGCTTCATATCAGCACAGGCGCACCACTGATATATGGCTATCGCGAGAAGCATTATTAGCCTACGAGGAAGCTTTGGAGTTGGAAGCTCAAGTCGATGCCCTCTTCCAAGGAGGAGCACCGGCTTCCTCCTGGCGGGCCCGCTCCGCTGCAACCAAGACGCCAAAGCCCGATCCCCAGAGATTCCGCACGCCTATCACGCCCAGCAAGAAACGTCTGCCGTCCACCCCGAGTACGAGGCATAGCGTATGCAGCAAGATTGAAGACGAGTCCATAGAGCTCGGCATGAACCTTCTGGGGAAGCTGGACGATAAGTCGCCCAGAGTGCGGAACGCGAGGGCGGTGAAGGAGATCTGGGAAGGAGTCTATCCTCGCTGGCAGGACATGCTGAGAGTTCAGGATGAACTTCCTGCCAGAGAGGGAGGCCTGGAGCGCTTTGAGTGTGGTAAGCATCAATCTCCTGTCGGCTGCCCATTGACTCATGGTGATCTCAGGACATATCCTGACGCGCATCGTCTGCAAGGCATCCACTGCGTTAGGTATTCTCAAAGAGCACGAGCTCGAGCTTGAAGTCCTCGAAGCCTTGCTCGCACAGCGCAGGTGGCGCAGGGGCCGAAGAGGCAGATGGCATGAGCGACGGGCACTTATTCTGATGCAGTACTGCGGCAAGTCAAGAGAGGCGTACGAGCGCGCGTTGGAAGCTGTGACGGAGGCCCTGTTAGACGATGATACGCATATCGGTCAGTTCTGCATTCTGCTCCTATCTACCGTGCTAACAATTTTGACAGTCTATCGGCCCAAGCTTGAGCGTAGATTGACTACTCTCGAGAAGTGGCTCAAGGTTTCCGAAGCTGACCGCCATACGTGCGAAGCAAAGCTGAACAAGGCCGAGGAGGTCTCTCTCTCAGGCGTGCGTGTTCACCACCGCACGTCTAACATGGTCTTGGATCGCTTCGGGCGGCCAGTCGGCAAGCGTCGGGCACTGCAGCCTAGTCAAGCTACAGGCGGTTCGCTCAAGCAGGCCGCTCTTCCTCAGTCGTGGACTCAGCATGTCTCGTTCGCAGAAGAGAAAGCGGACGCAGTACGTTCATTTGCCACATGCGCGATCACTCTGACTCGAAATTCCCGTCTAGGATAACGCCAACGCTCAGGGAAAGACTATATGGAAAGGGAGAGGAAATGAGGAGGTCAGCGTGGAAACTTTGGCTCTGCAGTACTATGAAGAACAAGGCTACAAGGGGTACGAACCCATTCAACGCTCGAGGCGAACATATCACTGATGTGCTTCCTGACCAGCTTTCATTGCGAAGGGAGGATAGTCACAACACTCTTCGGCCTGCTCTTCTGGGACATCATCTTCGCGAACATTCCTGGGACGTTTGAGACGCCGTATCATTCGTCTCCGCTGGACATCGCAGAGGATACGTTCCTCTTTGCACGACAACAGCTCATAGAACGCAGGTTGGATGAACTGAAGGAGGGACAAGCAAGGCAGGTCCTCGAACGTGTATATGATCAACATGCGGAGGCGCAGACGTTGTGTGTTGGAGTCCGATGGGGTCTATTTGACAAGCAGGATCTGCTGGAGATCACCGAGGTAAGTCGGTCCATTGCGTGGATTTCTAGTACAGTGTTGATTCGTCATTGTCGTGATGTGTCTCTAGTGCATTGGAGGCGATGCGTTGGCGATGATTTGTCGCTTGTTATGTGAAGACTACGCCGGACGATGTGGGGGCGTGCCAGACCTGTGCATATGGAATGCTGAGCACGGCGAGTGCAAGTTCGTCGAGGTCAAGAGTCCCAATGATCGAGCGCAAGAAAACCAGAAGGTTCATCTTTTTCTTTCTTGGCTCAAATTGGGATACTGAGGATTTGTTCTGCGACAGGTTTGGATGGACGTACTGCGACGCGCAGGCGTACCTGTGGAGCTGTGCCACGTGTATGAGCAGGGGACAGATGACCCTCTGGTCAAAAAGAAGGGCAAGGGCAAAGGCAAAGCGACAACGAAAAACATGAGCGACCTCGGTCAGCCCAAGCGCAAGCGGGAGGAATCCAATTCGGAAGAACAGCTCGTGGAGTCCGAGGACGAGACCGAGGTAGACTACTCTCAGCTGGACATCCATCCGAGCCAAGAGGGTGCCGGTACGCAGGCGGAAAGTGTGCTCCATGAAACGTCCAGAGTACAGGCGGGGAAGAAGGTCGTGAATCGTGTCGAGATCGTGATCACGTCCTCTCCTGCTGGGTCGCCCATTAAGAAGAGGCCCAGGCAGGAGCGATCCCCTTCGCTTTAGTTTGTTTGCCTCCCTTTCATGGCCGTGCTTATTTATTGCTACCCATATGCACTTAGATACGTCCGACGCTTTCCATATACCGTGTCACACCTTAGCTGGATATTATACCATTGTACAACAAATGTCAGGAGCTCCAATATGCATAAATTACTGGAGCGAGGCTTTCTCGAGCTTCCAATGACCAAGGTTGTACCTGCGCTCGTGATAGCATCTCCTGCTCTAACTATATACGAAGTCTTCCTGCACGAAGAAGTATCAGCAAGCCTCTCACCTTGATGGCATCATCATTATGAGGGCTGCATGGCAGCCCACGATGGCCGCTCGATGCGAGAAAGGTTGCTGGTTGTTTGCGCTACGATCTTTGCCGCGAGTGCAGTAACTCCGACACCGGTCCTGAAACCACAGTACGCGTTGAAATAAAATCAATCTTTTGCACGGCTGCGTTGAAAACGCGATGCGAATGCGTGATGCCAGGGTGAAATCAACCTCGGCTGAGTTCCACGCACCCTCGAGTTGGAATGCGATATACGATTGATGTGAAGGCTGTCCTATCTAGCTGTGTCCGCCCACTGGTTCCATGCATTCAAGTTCGAACAGAACGCTCAGATGCCTCCACATGCGGTGTCATATCGTCTCGTCGGTAAGGGATCGTACCGTCTTTGACGTCTCGCATGGGAATTCTGAAATCGTCATCGGTATGGTCCGATTCCGTGAGCGGCTTCCCGCACAGAGCGTTCAAGGTATGGACGACCGTTGTCACGCGCCATTACTCCCAATTGGAAGTCCTTCGACGAGCTGTCCTCGTCAGTGACCTTTCAGCTTATTCAGCTAGTTAGGATGTTTAACGCACATCACTCTCTAGATCCGAAGTGAATTGGTGCAGTATTTGAATTGTTATCCACAACCTAGGAAAAATGTTCCAGATTAGGGCCAGCCAGAATACATCTGCTAGTGATCGTTGGACGACCACGAACCGATATGTCTTATCCACATAACGGTCGCACTGCCTCCTTAGACATCAGCGCTGATGTCCAATAAAATGTAGAGCAAGAAACGCGTTGCCACCTTCTGAGACTGCAACTGATTTTGCTATTCTTAGCTTGCGGAATTGTCAGCGCCTTATGCATATTACGCAAGCATGCCTTGTCTAACTGGAATTAGCAACGTCAACTACTCTGGCGATCTCCCGATGACATGCATGAACGTTGTGTGACAGATACAGTTATGACTTACCTTGGATGTGATATGCCACTGCTCGCTGTATCGATCGTCCCTCACGAGGCTACATTCCAGAGAGTCGCCAGAACAAGTATCCGACAGAGAGAACAGCGTGATTCTTCTGCGATCGGTTTGGTTCTTCAGTTCATTGAATCCTTCGCAGCGTGAGTTCAAACGTTTATTATGTCAGTGACCCATACGACGTCCCACGTTCGTTCCGTTGCCAAGCGCGCATGTGAAAGGGAGTCAAGTCCTCTTTTTCTCTATTTCGTATTGACTCTGTCGGACGATCAGAGTTTTGCAACAGCCTTGCGGCCGCATATGAGTCGAACCGCCGCCGTCGCGAAGAAGCGGAGTTGGGTGGCACGGTCGATGCCTGCTACGGTCAAAGGAGTGATCTGAAGCGCCAAAGACCAACGTTCAACGTTCCGTGATCATCTTGGTTTACGCGATTGATGACGCTCGTGGAAAATCTCGGCTTCCCCGTGACCTCAACATTGCTCGGTCGCACTATTTCTCCGACTCATATTATTCTTGGCCTCCGTCGACATGCTAGGTGACACCTCCAATCCAATATGAGATGGCTGGCTGGAACTCGTCCTCCATTCCCACTGTCGGGGTGCCCACCGCCTCTCACAATGTTCGCCGTGCTGCTTGCTCTCTCGGGCCTCTGCTGGCTTCCCCTATACGCCTCAGCCCAGTCTCAGGCTTCGAAGGCGTACGCACCCGTCGTCGCACCATGTCCCTCTGGAATATCCGTTCTACGAGAGGCAGGAACGACCAACCAGTCCCTCAGTGAGGGAGAATCCGCCTATGTCTCGGGGAAGCGGAAGACAGTGCTCCCTGCGGCGTGGAAGTCATACCTCGCGGCTGTGAACGGAAGCACCAGCGATGTGGTGTCATTGCCGTCTTATGTCTCCGCAATCCTCAACGGATCATTCGGAGGATCGGCATATCCAAACTTGAGCATCGCGACAAGTGGCGGCGGGTACCGAGCAGCGACATTTGGAGCAGGGGTGTTGAACGCTCTGGATGCGCGCAATGCAACGTCTGTGCGTGCTGGGACCGGCGGGCTCCTACAGGCCTCCACGTACCTAGCAGGACTGTCTGGCGGGAGTTGGATGGTAACCTCCCTCGCACAAGCGGACTTTCCGACTCTTTATGATCTCGTCCTAGGACCCGAGACTACGACCTCCAGCGGTTTCAATGGGTGGCTAGCGAATTTCAGCCTATTTGACCCGTCAGACAGCATTGTGCAAGACACCGTCTATATTATTGACCTCGCGGACGAGACTGACGGGAAGGCGGGAAAAGGCTTTAACGTGTCGATCACGGACGTATGGGCACGGGCCCTCTCTCGTCACTTTGCGAACGGAACGACTGCTGCGACTTTCCTCGAGAAGAATGTGACGCATGGCGCAGGACTTACGTTCTCCTCGATTTCTACTTTGTGAGCAGTCAACTTTCCATGGCCAAGATGGCGTCGCTGTTTACATTTCTTTATAGACCAGCATTTACATCTCATACATTACCGTTTCCTATCGTCGTAACTGACTCAATCTCGCCGTACCAAAATGACTCGAACATCCTTAACGAGACGGAAGTGCTTGTCCCTCTCACAAATCCGATATACGAGATTAACGCATGTAAGCCCTTACCTACACTTTACGTTATGGGTGCACCAATCTTCCTCTCACAGATGAGATGGGCTCCTTTGATCCCGTGCTTGGTGCATTTATCCTCACAAAGTACTTGGGAACGACAAATAGTACCCTGTGCGTGACGGAATATGACCAAGTCTCCTTTATCGAGGGTCTCTCCTCAAGTCTTTTCAACGAGGTACTATCACTACCAATTGGCCAAAAGATGATTGCTTAGGTTTTCGCATACACAGGCTGTAGTATTGGAGAACGCAGAGATATCAGATTTTATAGAGATACTCTCTGAATATCTTCCAGACGGAGGCGACATATTCTACGGGCTCCTCCCGAACCCATTCCATGGTCTATCGCCAAATACGTACATCGCTAGCAACCAGACAGTGCTTCAGCTTGTCGACGGCGGGGAGGACGGGGAAGAGATTCCGTTCACACCGTTGCTTGTCAAAGCCCGCGAAGTGGACGTGATCGTCGCGATCGATGCGGTACGTGACTGATCATAGGTCTCGACGACGCGCATACCTGACATACCGTCAGGCCGCCGACACCAGCTACAACTGGGCGGACGGGAGCTCTCTTATTGTAGGAGCACAATTTCTCAATCGGGATCGTAAACTCCGCTTACCATCCGATGACTTAGGCAACTCAGGACCGAGTATCCTATTTCCCGGGCACCTACGCTTTCCCTCCAGTCCCGACTTCGGCATCAACCTTTCTCTCGAAGAACTTGACAAGGTACCCGACATTCTTCGGTTGCAATAGTTCCGTGAACTCGAGCGAGCCGCTAGTGATTTACCTTGCGAACGGTGGACCGCCACTCGGTCAGACGCCCGCTACGAATACGTCGACGTTGCAATTGTCGTACGGCGCGGAGGAGCTGGAAGCAATGCTCTCGCAGACGTTTGACATTGCGACGCAGGGTAGGGCTACGGAGAGTTCGGCAGGGTGGGAGAAGGATCCAGAGTGGCCTGCGTGCCTTGCGTGTGCGGTTGTTGACCGCTCCAGGCAAAGGGAAGGGGTCACGCGGAGCGGCGTCTGCGCGAGCTGCCTCGATCGGTATTGTTGGAGCTGAATCGTTGATTTTGTCGCTCACTGGACAAGGACTTGGTACATATGTGATAGAACTCTTTGACGAGGTGGAGAACAGTGAAATGCCCGAAGAGCGCAATCTAGATGTGTATCATTGCCCCACGAAAGATGATCATCATGATCACAGATTCGCCAATCGAATGGATCCCCAATCATAGCGATGGCCTGCGTAATCGTATCGCCATGATGCACTATCAAAGTCGAACGGATCAATCGAGGCGTAGACAAATTACAGCGGATTCCCGAGTATCACGGGTTGCTGTGCTGAAGCCTAAGCACACATACGTCGTGGCACTGCGAGATAAGGCGGCAGAAGGCTCACTGAGTGAGACATAGCGGAGATATATAAGCACGGTTTGAAGGAAGATGATCTCGTGTACTGGCGGGAAGACGGGTACTGCTGCAGTGAACGTCATCAATATTCAATGCTCAGCGCGGAACAACCGTTGGCGAGATCCTGCTAATCATCGATCTAGGTACTTAGAGACCAAAGCAGATGTAATCATCGTTGTTGTCAGGAATAAGGGACATTGATGTCAATTGCAGGCAGGCTACTCGCAAGAAATCATGATGGCAGTGACAAGGCGAGTGTGTGATGGTGGCCACTGGCGGCCAAGTGGTCAGGCTTGACTATATCGGGAAGGTCACCGAGCTGAGCTCGTGTCGGAGTTAACACTACGAGGAACTGGGCCAGAGCCTGACCCGCCGATCTCGATTAGGCCGTGGTGGGTTATGCGAGAGAACCTGAAAGCCTTAACCTGCCCATGCACCTGCTGTTCACCCCGAACCGCCATCATCCCTCCTCCTCCTCCCTTTGCGACAGCAGATTCGCGCCCAACGCCTCACCATCGTTCCTGACAACACGAAAGACATCAACACGCGTTTGCCCAACAACACAGTTGAACTATGCCGAGCTCCGCGTCCTCGCGCTACGCGCGGACCACCAATTCGACCAGCCCTCCACATTCGACCGCGAGCTACGTGACGGGTGGCCAGCAGAGACTGAACGTGGTGACGCGTCTGGCGATTGAGGGGAAGTCGAAGAAGGGTTGGGATGGGGCATCTATCAAGATGTACTTGAAGGTGAGCGCGCCGCGGTGGTTTTCATGTACGACACGCGCATTGTGCGAGGCCCTCTCCAGTGGGGTTCTTTTTTAGAAAACACGAGTTGTGGCGCGTTATGTGCTTGCGCGGTCGTGCAGGGGCTCATTTCGGAGTGTCTAGCCCTGCGCTCTCGTTCTCTGAACACATCACGCGCCATGAGTCGATGTAAACTGGGAGGGTGTTTCCCCATATTGTGTCGTTGTCCCTCGTGGTAACGTGTTTCTGAATGTTTTTCCTTCACTGGAAATATACGTTTGCCCTGATTTGCCTGACATCGAGGCTTCTTCAACACCCTCGTAATCTACCTTCAACGCTGCTATTACAACGCAAATGGTGGTGTAGAGTGTTCCGTTGCATAGCCACACATCGCAGTTTGTCGCTAGAATAATTTCTGCGAATATCGGCTGGTTATGTGACTTCGAACCGCTCCTGGTCCTGATCTCTTCAATCTTGACAGATCTCCTTGCCCCTCGACAATATCACGCCCGGGGCTACTATCGCACTCTTTCCAGGTATGATTATCATTTAATCCAGTTTTTCGTCCCTGTGCTAACGTTGCTCAGAGGAGAACTTGAAGATACTCGACTCCCAAGTTCATCCCCTCGACAGCAACTCGGTGCCCTACAATTTCTCATCAGCAACATCCCCTTTACTGCACAAAGCCGCTAGAGCGCTCAATCTCGCGGCAAGACTATCCACGCCCTATGTCCCTCCTTCGGCTTCCGAGTCAATGTCTGGATCTTCCGCCGGTCTGCCTTCCCTAGATGGAAGTTACACGGGGCACATCCTGGTCAGTGGGTACCAGGTCTCATATGTCCTACCAAAGGAGTTTCCTCGACGAGACGCCGACAACCGTGGCAGACGAGGAGCTAACATGATGCATTTCATGGCTGCTATCGACATCTGGGTACCTTTCCTGTCGAGGCCGCCACACGCTCCATATCTGGTAAGTCAACTGCAAGTATGTATCCTAATCTCAACTTAATCCGAGCAGTTGTCGATTCCAGTTCCCCGCTGTCTGTCTAATCAGATCAAACTTCGTCTGTTCCCTCCTGGTCCGTCTGCGTCATCTTCCTTGGCATCACTCTCGTCTGCTGACGAGGATGGTGGTTGGGAGCTAACCTCGGATCCTCATGTCACCCGGAGCCCTTCTGCGCGTATGTCGCGCTCTCAAACGTACAGCAATTTTGCGGACGATGAGTCTAGCGACACATCCGCCTCAGCAGGGTTTGCTGAAGGGTATGGAGTCCGGGGCTCGTTTCCTAGCACAGAGCGGATCCGCATACGATGGGCGTCTCCGGCGAAGCCTAATCAGCTTCCCGAGGCTACTGATGGACGTCGTCGTGTCGGAGTCAAGGAAGTTAGAGCTGAGATGACCTGCCTTGTGATTGGCACTCGCAAACCAAGCAGGCGCAGCAGAGGCGCCGAGGGCGTACTGATGCAGCTGGAATACACCGGTACATGCAAAGGCGTCTGGTTCCCTGGAGTGGCAACGATGCTGGGCATGGACGCCGCACTTGAAGCAGAGGACTGCGACATCACGTGGGTGCCCGGCAGAGAGCCAAAATGGACGGTCACTGGCGATACAGGGTTCACAGGATTCGCCGTAGGCAGCCCTGTGAGGACTCTTTCCAGAGAATCATCCGAGGATTATCCTCCACCCGTCAAAGTTCAGCCAGCTACGCCCGACCGGCAAGCAAACGGCGATGCCTCTAACACCACTCCGACGATGAGGAATCCAATGCCGTATACGTCTTCCGTATCGCTTCTGCGCGCACCGCTGCCCGCACAGAACGTTGCTGATTTCTCATTCGAGGGCTCTCCTGTCTCTACTCCTACTAATACGGTGTCGTCTCTGGCTTCCCTTCCTCAACCGAGCCCAGAGCGCAAGGGGAAGAGGCGGTCCTCTTCCATTGGTAGTAGATATGCCGATACAGACACAGACGTGGACATGGACGTGGATGTGCGTCCGCCGAGGATACCGATCACCCTGCATCTAAACATGAACGAGCTCCTGCCTCCTTCCAAGAACGTGTTCACGTTCAGTATCTCGGGCACGGTACTCGTCACACCCCGTTCTCCTCCCATGACCCCCGACTCACGCAAATCATCGCCTGTACGCTCTCACCACTATCTCTCCGACAGTGAGCTCGAGCCCGAGCCTATCGCTGTTCCACGATTCCGCATATTCTATGCTGACCGAGAAACCATCTCGACCATGGTGCGGAATGAAGCTGATGACACGACCGTGCTGGTCTATGGCACCTCTACCGATAGGCGGCGCGACATGTCATTGAAGACCAGGCTCACAAAGGGAAATCAGGTGGCATGCGGAGTGGACGTTGCTCACATTGTTCTGCGACCTTCCGCACTTGCCGGTTACGATGATCTGTCGAGCGAAGACAGCGAGGACGTCTCGCACAATCGTTCCAGGAGCTCTCATGGAGGGAACGCCTCTCGGTTGAGAGAGTCATCTATGATGTCTAGTTCACGGCTCAAGCCACCGAGAGACGGACCGCTCATGATACCCTCGGTGAATGTTACTATCACGCCGCTCCTTGGCGAGGGAACAGCCTTCACGAATGGCTATGCCGTCCACGTTTGTCTTCCTGCCCCATCGGACGCCGACTCGGAATGGCTGGAGTTCGGACTCGCCCTTCCAAACTCAGACCCATCTTCCTCCATGTCGAGCGATTCAACCATCCGTAGCATTGATGCAACGAGTGGCCCTCCTCGTGTTGAGATCGCGAGCGCGAGTGTGGAAGGCGTCCCTGTACGGTTCCAGACAAGCGCCGTCATGAAGCAGACTGCGAGCTTGACTGGAGTGGGGTTGCCGTTCGAGGAGGCCAGTGGTAAAGAGTGGATAAGCTGGGTTAGCGTACATGTTGGTCGCGTCGGAGGTGGGAAGGTGGAGATCATCTACCTAGTTAAGGGCAAGGAACAAGAGCCCAACCCCGAAGATGAAAAGGCCAAGCGTAAAGGCAAACAGAAGGAGCAGGACGTTGTCCCTCTGGACATTCTGCTGCCCAGTTTCGCATTGCCCGTCGGGCGGTTGCAAGTTGATATCCAAGTCCGTGAAGGTCGGTCGATCATGACATCATGCGGAGAGACTATCTTCTGATCTTCTAATCTAGATTTCGAGATCGCTTCGTTGCGAACAAACCTGATGCACCGACAGTCTGCACCGCACGGTCAGATGCTGCTCAATTACGCTATGGACGAGTATTTCTATCCTCGTCTTGTGCTGTCCGTCATCCCGGTGGCGCCGAACGAAAGTCGCAAACTTTCAATGAGCGCGAGAACATGGAAGGCTATGCAGGTCTCAGTCTACTTTGTCGTCGTGATGATCGTGTTCTCCCTTGTGACTGATCTTCGGCGGACGACCGCGGAACTCCATGCCGTCAGGCAGTCTGCCGCTAACCAAGCTACGGTGACGGTATCGGTGCCCGTCGTGACAAACTCGCATGGATCATTGGGCGATCCCACCGTCCTCACGCCGGAAACTGTTACAGTAACCGCGACCGCTACTGCCACCACTCTCACGACGGTTGTCACCTCGCAGAAATTCTCGCCTGGCCACGATATACCAGCATCAAGCGAAGATACAATACCATCAGGTTCCGATGATGAATTTACAAGACTGACTCCTGTGGATGCTGCTTATCCTTCCGCAGATTCTATCATCTCAGATGATCAGAACGAGCGCGATGCACTAACCCCTACTCATCAACCCCACTCATTCTGGAATTTGCCTGTCAAGATCACAAAATTTAATCTTTCTGATAGCCAGATGGCGAAGAATGCATGGACAACCGTAAATGTAGTGCTCAACGGTGTGGGAGCTTTTTGGAAAATTTTCCAAAGCGTACTGCATTATCCTGTATGATTTGACAGTGTCGTATATTGTTTCGTTGCTATGACTTTGACTTATTGCTTGCTATGGTAATGCAGACTACATCTTTCTGTTGTATTGCTATGACGAGGAAACGGCTGCATATCCTTTTTATCACCACGCATTATCGTGTAAGTCGTGTCGACTGGACCACCGTGTCACGATATTCAATTTTCTGAAAGACCGAGCCCCATCGTACACAAGAAAACATCTAATGCTATGCGTACAAGTGTACAATAAACAACACAGATCAGACGGGTCAGCAACAAGAAAGACACACTACTGCGCACATCGGGAGTTACATCAGTACTTGGACATCGGAAGGTCGTCCCACTGGACCAACGGACGGGGAGGATCAGCTCTCCGAAGGGAAGCTTTGAATGCCTTGGGATCCTCGATGAAGTGTACGCCATCCTTGATCTTGCCTTCGTAGTCGCTGTCTGCTGGGTACTGCTCGAGAAGCCCAGGAACGCATGCCATGATTTGCTCCGATGCCTCTGGGGTGAGCGATGGATTCTGAACTGGCAAGGTGCCCTGCCAGTATTTGGTGAACTGAGAGAGCAACGGCTCGCCATCACCAGTCAACTCTTCCCTCCACTTCTGTCCGTTAACCTTGATCCCTCGCTCGATGAGCGTGTTCTCGAATGCCTCCATGGCGACAAGGCCGATCTTCTTAGGCCGAGGCTTCTGCGAGCGCAAGTGCACAGACATCTTCGCGCGGGAACTGGATGATTGGTGGATACGGGACATGAACAAGGAGATGACCTCTTGCTTGGTGATGCTCTTGACAAGACTAGCATCGTGGTCGCCTACAGTTTAAAAAATGAGTTAGCATCAATGAAAGCCGGTACAAGCAACACTTACGCCTCAAGAAGTCGAGATATCCGGAATCGATATGTGTCCAGTAGCGGTTGGTCTCCTCCCCGAGGTTCTTGACCGCCTCTCTCCAACGGCGCTCCAGTCCGACCTGCTGCTCCTTGAGCTCAGCGTCACTTATCTCCTCCAGCTTGTCTTTCATCTCATCCAGGAACGCTTCTATGCGCTCCTCGAGATACACGGGTCCCCGCTCGCTTTGGATGACAATCCTCAGGCCGATGTCAGATTCTCCAGGGGAGATCATCTGCGAGCATGACACAATGTAGCCTAGCTGTTCTCTTGTGCGAAGGACGTTAAACGCAGGCTCAGACAAGATCTGAGTGAGAAGTGCAGATGTCACCCGGAGGCGGGGTTCCAGGAACGATCCGACGTGCAGATAGTACGTGATGGCAGAGTTCGGCTCATTGACGTTAGGAACCACGGTCTGCCAAACATGATTTGATCCTGTCGAAATGGTTAGTTCCGCCACAGTTTGTTAAACAGTGCAACTTACCATCGGAAAGAATGAGTGCCGTGTCGACGACCTCCAAAGGATTGAGCGGAGCAGGCTGAAGGATGTCCTCCGTCATCGCGGCCAAGCGGACGGCATCCTGCAGGAACGTCAGACAGGGCAGGAAGGAGACATTGCACCAGAGACACCTACATCCTTGTACATATTGCCAACTACGAGCATGCGCATATGTAACTGCGAAAGAAGCCGTTGAACATGTTCCTCAAGCTCTTCGATTGTGATCGCTATCATTTGACAAAATGTCAAAACATTCCTAACGCACAACGACATGACACTCACTAGACACTTCAGCGAGCTTCTCGGATAGGATCCACTGCTGCTCTGTCAGAAGATGCCGACCATAGTAGTCGACCAGACGGAACGGAGCGCCCATGAAGAAGTTCTCGTAGTCTCGTTTAGCCTGATCATTCAAACCGTTTCAGCATCAAAGGGATCGTCACTTCAATCGCATCAACATGCCTGATCTTTCATGACCTCCAATCTATCGGGTCGGAGCTGTAGGTTCTTCACTTTCTCGATCACATCCTTTGCAAGCACGTGCAGCTTGTCGTTGTACCCTGAGAGCACGACAGACATGCCAAGCGTTTGCGGCGAAAAGTTGTACGTGAGGCCGGCTAGCTCAGCATCATAGGAGAATTCCGTCAAGGAGTCGTTGACGAGATCCGAGAAAAGCCTGAAATGCTAACTTAGCTATGGATTATAACTCCTACGCATATGATACGCACCGGGTCATCACGCTTGCTCTTGCAGAAACATTGGCTTCCGGACTAGAAGCGCGGAAATGAGCGGTCGTCGAGAAGATCGAACGTTAGTCAGACCTTCGAATGTCAATTAACACATGTGCCCTTGGTACCCAAAACTGGTCATCCTTCTTGTGCCACAGGCTCGTCAACGGCGTATCCCGAATAAGAAGAGGACGCTTCATAGGCTATCACACGCAAGAAAACGGACATTAGCCTTAGCCTCGTGTCCGTGATCCGTCGATCGCGCTGGTAGGTGGAGACCTACCTGATCGACGGGGCGCTTCTCGACATCTAGATTCGTCGGAATGAACTCGTTTGGACCTGGGAGGAAAAGCTCAGGTATATTGTTCGGCGCTTCAGCCTGTGAGTATTACCAGTCAGCGGGTGCGCACACTCACACAGTCACAGTCACATCAACTCACCTCCCTGACGAATTCCTCGTCAAGCCTTTCCACTCGGTACGGCGTGCCATACCAAGGTTCTGTTTTCCATCCGCCCGGGCCTCTCACGCGTTCGTGCTCCTCAGCCTTCGCCATGAGAACCACGCGTCCACTCTCGACTCGGAGGCTGTTTAACACTTCGCGCATCTCACCTTCTCCGTTGTTGATCGGATCCTTCTCATCCCACTCCCACACGAGCTGCGGTGCGCTGAGAACGAGCTCCCGCGGGACCGGCCACGAGAGGTGCTCCGTAACCCACACCGCGTAGTCATCCGGCTTGCGCTTCTCTGCAAACCGGAAGCGCGTCGCCTTGATGATACTCATTTCACGCTGGTACCACGCTGGCAACTTGGATGCACGCAACATAGACAAATACTTATACACGGCAAGTACGACCTCCTGATGGTGCTCTGGCGATGGACGGAAATGTCATCTCACGCATACGTCAGCTTGATAGCTCACACGCACCGAAACCGGTCTTGGTCAGGCTAAGCGTGACCTTTAGCATGGCGAATCCGCGCCCGAGGTTCTGCGGCCCAGCGCTGAGAGCCGTAACCCAGCCTTTGTTCTTGAGATAAGAGTGCAGAGATCCGGGGCCTTCATGTCCCAGGAAGTGCGTGAGAAAGCTGCCGGGCTGGTATCGCCATTGGCGGGGTTGCCATGGGAGAGGGAAGGAGACCTCTACGGCGTGGAAAGACATGATTGTCTGTACCGATACCAAAGTCTAGAGCATGGTCAGATTAACGGCGTAGTGGACTGTCGCTGTGGGTACTTACTCCCATTTCATTTGGCCCGAATGGGTGATCGTTTATCATTGGCAGAGGGTTCTGTCCCCGATTTGGTGTGGGCGTAAATAGATTGGAAACCATGTTGGCAAGCTCGTCAAGGGATTCTGTTCACCACGATCGTCTCTGAGTAACGGAACCAACCGTAAAGTGGAACACGATTCACCTTTACCGATCACGCATAACCGCATTCGTCCTGCACAGTACTCCTTGCTCCACCATTCCACTAGCCTCCGGCGCGTTTCGCGCCCAACACTTCCTCCATCGGCGTCCATCTCGCTGTTAGCGGAGGTGGACGACGGCGCAGGAGATGGCACGCGGGACGACTCAGGGGTAGCCGCGAGACTACTGCCGACCGATCGAGCAGTTGCGCTCAACGGTGTGCTAGCGCCGTTCGAGCTGAGCAGACCCTTGGCCTTCAGTTCTCTACCAACCTTGGATAGACTGTCGCGATTGCCGCTGCCAAACTTGCTCCATGGATGTCCGGGCTTGGTAAGGTGCTTGTTCAACTGAAAGATTCGCCACATATCCGCTTGGTGGTTCTTCTTGTGCTCGGAATCGACGGCATTGAGCTCGCGAGAGGTGCAGGATGGCGCGAACAGCGGGCAATGGAAGAAGGCGGCGAACCGAGAAAGCGCGCCCGGGAGAGCATCGGTCGAGACGGAAAAGTAGTAGTTTGTGTTGGAAGTGCCCGTGAATGCGTTAGAGTTGCCGTTGTTTTTGGCTAAATACTATGTATGCGGGTTCAGAGAGGAGACAACAATGTTGGACCCGAACGTACCTCCGAGTACTCGTTCTCCCGGGGGTACTGCTCGGTGCCCTGTGCATCACATGAGCATTGACCTAGCTGTATTCCGCTGTACTGTTCGCGTGACTCACCATGAATAGCAGGTGCTCACAGAAGTGTGCAAGCCCCGGCATGTCGTCCTACAACCGTACATGTCAACATCCAAGTCCACACTTCCAGACGTGCATTACGCCCAGCGACCTCATCACGACACGATCCAGCAACTGCACACTTACCGGGTCATAAAGATGTCCGACCGATACGTCCAAACTGGCAGCAGCCTTGTCCGCCTTGGCGTCGTGAACCAGCATAGCTTGTAGCCCATTCTCTAGCTGGATGATCCTGTACTCCCTGTCGTCTTGCCTGGACTTGTGGATCGGCATGGTAAACATGTAGTAGGGCTTCGAGTTGGGGTGCGAGACGCGTTCCCATTCGGGGATGAGCGGTGGTGAGGCCATCGCGGCGGTAAAGTAAGGGAAGAATTGGAGTGTCCTGGCGGTCCTCAAACGGCTCAACGACGACCACGCAGAATGCGGGGGATGAAGTGAGGGAAAACGAACGCGACTCGCCAGCAGCCGCTGCATTTTATGTCGGGAAATGACAGACTGAGAGGGTGCGCTTACATCATTTGAACCGGGGACTGTTCAGGCGGTGGGAGGCTTCGTGGAGGTAAGTGTCAACATCGCTCGGCGACACAAGTCCTTCTCTGGTAAAATGCCACACCGGAACATGTCTGCTCCTTAGCCCATCTCACACCCAGCGGAGGATCAACCTTCTGGTCCTTCGAAGCAATCAGGCCTCTCATATGATCGTGTATTTTACGACTGGACATGACCAAACGGTAACCGCGCTACGACCGCCGACAGCGCCAGTTACCATACTGCATGACTGGGATGACTGAGCCTGAGTGATCCTCGGTAGTCGAGAACGACACAGGGAATTATCACAAGAAGCCGTCCAGAGTCGGCATATCGACAACCCTTCGCGCGGACCTCGGGCAATGCGCTGTACCACCTGCTGACCAGGGCCAGCAGGCCAGCAGGCGGAGCGAGAGCGGCGGCATTGTAAGTGTAACTTGAAGCTTTTACGTTTTCTTTTCTCATATTAGCATCAGTCGAACCGGTGGTTCTTTATCCGACAAAGGTATCTTTAGTGAGACACTTACGCGAGAGTCAGAGCGTGCGAACCGGACAGTCGCTACAGGAATGCCAATCGCGTTGTGAACGGGAACGTGTGAGAACAATAGGACTTTATTGACGGACTAACATAGCATACAGACGGGGCACGACAAAATTTATACAGGACCAAGGAGCGGTCATACATGAAGGAGCAGAAAGAGGCGACATGTCCATGACACTGATAACGGAAAAGGCGGAGCGAAAGTGGCGGTCTGGAACATCAAACATACAAGACCTGCGGAACCACGTGGGATGTTGAGAGAAGACGCAGGACATGTTCACTTCCTTCTTCCAAGTTTCAATCCCGACCTGGCGTTCAACGTCAATGTCTGTTGTTGCAGAACATGTGCCGGTGCCATGAAGTTTTTACGACGGCGGAACAGCAGGACGTGAGGCTCCGGAGCTAGCATGAAGTAGAGTCAAACGCGCCACGCGTCTTTATAAATGTTTGAAGTTCCACTCACCATGGACCTCGTAGTGCTCCCAACCCAAGCTCTGCGTGATTCCAATGCCTCTCCACTCGTCCTCGGTCAACAATCGAAGAGTGCCACTCCTGTCAGGATTGAACAAGTCCTTTGGAATTGTCTTCATAAGCGGTTTGGGCAGAATGACGTGGCGGTATTCATATTCCTCGTCTGAGTACCGATCAGAATAGTGGATCCTACGAATCGAGATTACGCGTGAGTCGGTGCGATTCGCATGGACGATAATAACAGGCCGACTTGTCGATATATTCTGCCATTCTCCTCTGGGCTTCAGCCTCAGCTAGCGCAATGGCTTGAGGGTCTTTGTCTTTGTGAGCCATGACGAAAGTGATATAGTTTGATGTTGATAGTTGGATATCAAGGCGGACGCAAGTGGCTCCCGGCGGGCAAGACGCGACTAGTCACAATGTGTCACAGACCGATGCGGACATCACGTGCTCGACGCGTCACGATTTGAAGCTCAGCGCGGATGGGACGC